AAGAGAGAAAGGGAGAGAGAGAGATGGTAGGGGTAGGGTGATTGCTAGCAAATAGTCTGACTAAAGGAGAATGCTTTGAATCACTGTGGGGGATTACCTGGAGATGTATATGAATCCTTCTTGTGGCCACAGTGGGTGATCATCCTGAAGATCAGACCACAGCCTGGCCATGTCCAGATTAAATTTCTGCAACATTTCCTGCTGGGCAGCTCCACAGAATAAATTTACCTCAGACTTCATATAAGTCCACATTGTAAGAGTGTGTGATTTTAACCAAGATACAAAACCACTGGTTCAAGGAATAGTCTTGCTGCCAACAGTGTACTAGGTCCTGTGGATATAGCATTGAGTGAACAAGACACCATCACCTACCCTTCTAGTGTTGGCATTCTAGCAGGGCCAAGTATCATCCTGGGAGAGACTCATGCTTGAGGCAAGGAGTAGGGGAGATGTATGTGGAATGCCACCCAGTGATCAATGCTTCTGTTCAAATACTTGCACAATGAATGAATTTAATTCTCACAGCAAATTCTGTGAGGTGGGTACTATTATTGCCACCCCATTATAAGGATGAGTGTTTAAGGACCAGAGAGATAGCTTTCCTAAGGCCACACAGCTAGTTAAGGCTCAAGTTGTGTGATTTCAGAGTGGGTAGGTTTACCCACTATATTGGTTTCCTATTGCTGCTGTAACAGATCACCAAAAATTTAGTGGCTTAAAACAACACAATTGCCTTACAGTTCTGGAGGTTAGCAGTCCTAAAATCAAGCTGTCAGGCACCTTGTGTTCCTTTACAGGGGCTCTAGGGAAGAATCATATCCTTTACCTTTTCCAGCTTCTAGAGGCTGCCCACATTCCTTGACTTGTGGCTACACCATTTCGACCTCTGTTTCTGTCTTCCTTCACGCCTCATTCTCTAATTCCTGCCTCTCTCTCATAAGGACCCTTGTGATTACACTGGGCCTACCTGGAAAATTCAGGATAATCTCCTCATCTCAAGATCCTTAATTTAATCATATCTGCAAAGTCTCTTTTGTCACCTAAAGTAATAGTCACAGGTTCTGGGGACTTGGATGTGGACATCTTGGAGGGGGGCATTATTCAGCCAGCTACACCCACTTACCTATCTTTACTATACTGGATGTCTGTTTGTAATTTTCCTTAAATAGGCACAGAAATGGATAAGCCTATGTGTAGGTATAATTAGCAAATAAGTGGACTAAAAGGAATTGCAACTCCTGGGGCAGGAGGAAGGGGCGTAGAACTTGGGGATGTCAAAGGAGACATGACTCATCTACAGTGTTCATTTGATTTATTAGAAAATATTTGAAGCAAATATACAAAATGTGAACACATCTTGGTGGCGGGAAATAGAGGTTTGCTGTGTGTTTATTGTATTTGCTCTGTATTTACGGCATTTAAAAAAAAAACACACTGAAATAGCCTGCCTAGGAGAGAGCTAGTTCTGCCTGGGCAGCTGAGACGAGTTACTGGCTTCTCTGGGCGTGTTTCTCCCTCTGAGATGATGGAGGACCAATAATCTACAACCTTCAGCGATTTTCCTCCCTGGACACGTGGTTCTTACATTGGGGGGGGGGGGGGGGGGCCAGACCACCTGGCTATGCAGGACCGCAGAGGTGCCAGGAAATAGGGGTTGGGAGCCTGCGGAATGGAGAGCACCCAGGGTCGGCCGGGAAGCGCGGCGACGCTGCACCGCCCCCAGGTGGCCACAGGCAGTATATACCACGTTCAAGGAAGACAAAACACACACATACCTGAGGATTGAACCTTACGTTTAATGTTAAGGAACTCCTCTTTCCTTTGTAACCCTGTGTTGTAATAATAGTTACTCCTGAGGATCTAGAGAGCACTATCACTCCGAGACCCAGGGGGAAGACCGGCGTTTGTCGTGAGAAGAATGGGAAAGGCTGGCGGTATCGGACATGCGCACATCCGCAGGGGTGGATCAGTAGACCACATACTGCCGCGTCATTCAACTAATATAGTCTCTATGGAGAGCCCAGCGAGCGGGAGGTAGCGTGGCCGAGTGGTCTAAGGCGCTGGATTTAGGCTCCAGTCATTTCGATGGCGTGGGTTCGAATCCCACCGCTGCCATACCGTTGTAGGTCTCTATTTTTCCATCCTTCAGAAACCTGTTCATTTACTGATTTTTCTTCCCCGATATTCTAACGTTATCTTATTTTTATTTTTTTGGTTTTAATGGAATTAGCAGCGGGTAGAGGGAAACGAAGAAATTGCAGGACAGGCCACAGGCCTTCTCACTCCGTAACCTAGTACACAAACCCACCAAACCTGCTATCTAAAAAACAAGAAAGAAAACACTATTTCCGGGAGAAAGCACCCGAAATACTTTGGAAAGTTCCCAAGTTATTTAATCCTCCAAGGCCTGTGGTCACAGGGAGTGGGTCTGTTAACCCAACAAGTACAAAAGTTAGGTGGGGGTGATTTTAATCATGACCTAAGTTAAGGAGGGTCCCTTTCTGGCGGGCTCTGTGTACTTTGGAGAGCCCCAGCTGACTCCAGAAACCTCCTTGGCAAAAACCTGTCAGGTGTCCCTGGGGTAGGGCTAAGGTATCAGGGGGTCTGTCCCATGTGGGGATTATCAATTTTAAGGTCCCAGCTTCATAGATCCACTTCCTATTTGGTCTTCAGTCTTGATCTAGGGTCCCTCGTTTATTTATTCATTCAACAACTACTTATGAAGGATCCACTATGGGCCAGAAACCAAGCTTGTCATGAGGCTATAGAACAAACAAGGCAGATGTATCTTCACACTCATACAGTTTATAGACATTGTAATCTCATTAATTACACCTCTGAGGGGTGTTATGCAATGTATTATGCTAATGCTAACCTTGCCCAGGGTCACTGGAACAAGTGACACTTAGTTGGGACTTGAAACTGAAAAATTAGCCAAGTGAAGGGGAGAGGGTGGGGCTCCTGGTAAGTCTGAGATTCTGTGAAAGCAACTCAGGGAACTGGACAGAGACCAGCAGTGGACAAATAGCAAAAGATGAGGCAGAAGTGTAAGGCAAGGAGGGCCATGAATGCCAAGGTAAGGCTTTGAACTTGATCCTGAACTCACTGAAAGGTTTCAAGCCAGAGACTGCCATGTTCCAATTTTGGGTTTAGAAAGTTCCCTCTGGCAGCAAGAACAAGAGGTTTCCTTTAAAACCCATAGCAGTTGTCTAGGAAAAAGGAGAGCAGCTTGGACCATGGTTGTGGCTGTGTGTTGGGCTGAAGGGATGGGGCAGAGAGACATTTTGGAGATGGATATGACAGAACTCACTGATGAAGACATGAAGAAGAGGAACGTGTTAAAAGTGATGCCGGGTTTTGAGTTTGGGCCACAGGGTGGCTGGTGGTACCTATTCTCCCCATAGGAGGAAACACAGGAGGAGGAGGTGGTTTGTAAGATAGATGATTTCTGTTTGATTTATACTGATTCTCATTTTGAGATGCCTGTGGGACAAGGGGTTGAGTAGGAGGATAGACATAAAAGTCTGGAGGTTTAGAGAACACTCCACACAAATGATACAGATTTAGGGGGCACTGGGTACAGAGGCCATGGGAATGGATGAAGTTACCCAGAGAGTGCACACAGGAAGCAGACTGGCCAAGACAGAGTCCTGACAAACATAATCTTAAAGGAAGGACAATGGGAGAGAAGCCAGTGAAGATGGAGGACTGTCCAGAGACATAGATAGAAAACATATGTGGTGCCATATAGACCAAGCAGAGTATTTCAAGAAGGAGGGAGTAGCCAACTATGTTGAATTCTCCTAACAGGCTTGGCAAAATATAGACTGAAAAATATCCATTGGATTTATGATTTATGGGCAAGTTCATCAATGACCTTGATTAAGATCATTTTGGAATGGGTTTAAGAGAAGAAATGAAAATATTAGTGTAGACAACTGATCACAAAATTTAGTTTTGGGAACGGGTAGAGTGGGAGGGGGAATGAGGAGCCAAGGGACAAGGCTGGAGGATGTTAAAACAGTAGAGAAGAACTTCAGCACACACAGTGATTGGCTATGTCACCTTGGGCTGTCCATGCTGACAACTCTCTTTTCTGTATTCATGTTTCTGCATAGTGTCTACAAGTAAGCTTGGACCTCCTATTTGCCCTCTTAGAACCTCCTGGAAGGCTAGTTTTCTGGGAAGCCTCTAAAATGCTCATTGGGACTCAGTTTGTTGGTTAAAGGTGTTGCCTTCTTTTCTTCTGGGTAAAGACACTTGAGAGAAAGGAAGCTTCCTTGGCACAATGACCCACACTGTTTCCACGACCAGGTTTTAGACATCATACCTTCAGAGTATCAAGGAAGAGGTGACTTAGAGAAACCAAAAAAACCAAGAAATTGATTTTGCTTTTGGATTTCAGAAGCTGAGGTTTGCCAGTAGACAAAAGACCCAGAAGGTTATGTGAACTGGAAAAGTCTGTTTTCTCTGTGCTAAGAACCTGTTTCTCAGGGCTGGTAGAGAGAGGAAGGTGAGAGCAGGTGAGTTTAGATGCAAGTGTGTTACGAAGAAGAAGGGAGCCCAAGGACTTCCAGCCCCAATTGGAGTTGAGAAAGAGGTAGATCCTAGAGCTCTACCCAAGCCTGGCATGGCCCAGGTGCAGAACAGCAAAACTGACCATGTATCTTGTTTAAGCCAGTGGGCCTGGGGCAGCTCTTCCAAATTGCCCCAGCTGCAGAGATGTAATCCCCACCACTTTTTTGATGTTAGACACAACCCCAGTTTCCTCCTCACCTGCAAAAAGAGAATAATAGACTCCACTGTAAGGGTAGCCCTAGGAATTAAATGAAAGTATATGATGAAAGCCCTTTCAAATTGTCAAGCATTAAATAGACATAAAAGATTATTATTGAGCTTTTAAAAATTATATACACATACAATTCAACCTAGCAATGAAGAGATACACTTTGTAGCTACTTCACAAACTTTCTTCATTGTTCAGCCGAGAGAGAACACAAGTTGTAGATGTCCAGCCCCCATGATGGCCACATTGGTTCTGATTAACACTTTCCCTCCCCTCCACCACAAGCTTTTCAGGTTCATGATTTTCATCTTTACCAGGGTTGACAGTTTGACGGGCCAGTTCCACATGTGTAGTTTATGATACATGCATGGATGTATCTACATCCTGATCTTGGTATCCATAATCACCAGAATAATAGGGAGGCACTGCTTCTGTGGAAAGTAGGGTTGGATTAAGAAATTTTGCGGGTTTAAACATCAAAGATTATGGTGATCACCACTGCCCCCTCATTAACAAATAGAAGCAATACTAAATTATAAAATAAGGCGAACTAAGTTCAAATTCTTTCTAATGTAACTATATCGGTATTTTTTCAAGAAGTTTAATTCTTTTAAATAAAAGTTTTTGTTGTTGTTTTATGTCGCTGCTGGTGCTGTGCTTACTAGGTTGAGTGACCCAGAGGTTGGGGCAGCGAGGAGGGTCCAGTGTCCATAAGGTAGCTGCAGCAGACAAGAAAAGTGGGCAACCGCCCCACCCTGCACTACCCACTAGGGACGACCAAGGCCAGGCCCAGGAGCTCCCTTAGGTCGTTTGCCCGCCGGAGCGGAAGCAGAGCGGAAGGGGCGGGGGCCAGGATGGGGCACGTGGCAGAAGGGAGATACCGCACCCAGAGGGAGGAGCAACGAAGGGTGGGCTTGGGCGCAGGCCCAGGAAAAGGAGGAATCCGAGCAGGGGAGAATCGGGGTGATCCAGGACTGGGCAGAGGTGGGGAGAAGGACGGTCAGAGGGAGCAGGCCTAAGGCTAGGATCTCTTCGCTAACCTGGCCAGGCCAGAGGGAGAAGTAGGGCCGAGACCCAGAAGGGGGGAAGGGGCGTGGCCATGGTTCCTGTGACGAGGGAGGGGCTTGCCTAAACCCTGAGGGCCGCCTGGGCGGGTCCACGGCTGCGCTCTCCGGGTAGACGGTCAGACTCCGGACGGCTGCCGGCCTAGGAAGCACAGGACAAGGGCGAGCAGGCCCAGGAGCAGCAGCAGCCCGAGCAGTAGCCGCAGGAGTGACCACGCTGTGGAGCCGCGGGGCCGCCCCGTCGTGGACTGTACATATCGCTCCACGGCATCCGCGAAGTTGAACTTGTCTGGCGCATAGCCGAGCTGCTCACGGGCCTTAGCGATCTGGAAGGTGTGCGTTACCGCCACACTGTGCACCTGCGAAGAGAGGCCCGGCAGTTGAGGGGCGGGATTAGTCGAGGTGGGAAGTAACCTCCGCGGCTATAAAAGGACACAGCCCTCCTCAGGGAGGACCTCCTTTCTCCCATTTCCCTCCAGGACTCGGCTTTCAGGATGCTTTTTTCTGCATTTCCCCACCCTACTACTGAGCACAAGTCCCCCAAAAGCAAAGGTGGCCTAGCACAATCCTGTGACATAGGAGGCCCTTGATTACTACGTGGCCTGGGTGTGGCTATCCGGAAAAAATGCCTCCAGGAAATGCTCCTGGCTTCTTGGTCCTCAGTCTTAGACTGAGGCAGGGCCCAGGGTGCAGCCTTCAACCCTCACTGATTAAGCTTCCCCAAAAGAGTTCAATTATGTAGGGGTGATTGTTCTTGAGCTTTGTTTCTCTGTGGCCAGGTGACCTGAAGCTTACAAGCTTCAAGGGCAATAATGCAGTTATCAGTTTCAGAGTTCACACTCTGTACTTGACCTGGGCTAAATCTCATTTAATCTTCTAAGGTGGTACTGTGGTACTATCCCCACCTCAACATATTTGAAAATTGAAGATCAGAGAGATTAAGTGGCTTGCCCAGGGTCACACAAGGAACCAGTTTCCAGCTCCTGCTTCTCTGTGCTATGCTGGGACTGAGAGGATGCCAGCCTCTGCGGACCCTGGGAAGGGTCCACCAGCTGCTTGATTCTCGTGTGGCACTGAAACAGCCAGTGTGGTCAAGCCCAGGGTCTTAGACGCTTGTGGGAGGAGAGAGGCAGAGAAGTCAGTTCTTGTCCCCTTTTGCCCCAGCTAGTTAAGTTCAGGCTTTGGGGTGATGGATACAGCTATGAACTAGATAAACAGGGTTCTGGAACACAGTATTCTCAGATATCAGGCTTAGATCTCACTTCCTATGGGAAGCCTCCCTAACTTCCTCAGAACTGGCTTAGGTGCACCTTGTGTATGACCTGAAGTTCTTCCTAACTTCCCCCTTACCACAATGTGTTGAGCTGCTTGTTTACTGGGCGCTCTTCCCCTCTGGACTGTGAGGTCCTTGAGCTAAGGACTGTGTCTTGAAAGGACAAAGTCGGTGCCATTTGCTGTCATGGTGCCATTTGCTGAGTAGGCCTATGACCTTGTTAAACATGACTGCCATTTTACTCTTCTGAGCATCTGTCCCCAGGACTGGAAATTACTAGGAAGTGAGAACAGAACCTGACCAACCACCCAGAGCTGCCAGCAAAAGATAACACTGGAGCAAACTGCAGCTTATGCAAAACCAATTGAAACCTCGTGTGCTGCAACACCTCTAACAGCCCAGTGGCCACACAACAGCAAACCGTGCCCTCCACCCTTTTACAATCCAATAAAAACTCAACTTGCCTACATCTCATTGCTAGTGTATCTCTCCACACTTAAGCACTTTTCCTCCCTTGGAAAGTTAATAATCTTTTTTCTCTGCATTTTCTTTTTGTGAATTTTTTTCACAACCTGCATCACTGGCCACCTTCACATGTCCTGCTTCCATTGCTCAGCACAATGCCTGGCACACAGTATATTTTAAATGAATGAAAGCCTATCAAGTCAAACTAGAGGGCTCGTTGGTGTGTCACAGACTAACCAGCAGAGGGCGCCAGAGCCACATTGTCCAGAAACTTGCCCCTGATCTGTGCACAAGTGAAAGGAGGAAGGGAGCCAGGTCCCGGGCCTACCATTTCAGCAGCATCTTGACAGCTATTTTACATGGATGTGATTCCTGACTAATTTCACAAGCTAGTGGTTAAGCTTGAAATCATTTAGATCTGGTTCTGGTTCGGATATCAGTTCCGCAACTTTAATGAGTGATCTTGGGCTGGTTATTTCACCAATGTGTCTCATTTCCTTCCCTGTAAATGGAGATAATATAATATATTGTATCTAGAGTAGAAGTGATGATTAAATGGGATAAACACAGCCTGACATATCATTGCCACTCAAAAGATGGTCACTGTTTTCATTTTTCTCTTTCCTCTGCTAGTTTGGATGGTTCAAAGGAGAAACAGTAGGAAATTGCTTATTTCTGTTGCCCAGTCTCCATTCCCCAAATCAGAAAGAACTAAGCAGAGTGTGAAGCCAATTCCAGAATGGTGCGACCTTGGACAAGTCAGTAAATTTTCTAGTCCTCAGTTTCTCATCAGAAAAGGACATCATACTCATAACTTTTTTGGCCTTCCTAATTTACTAGGGTATCAGAGAAAATCAAATGAGAGTGTAGACTGGAAGGACTTTGTGAATAACACCAAACACCTATAAAGTTTACAATCTGTAATAAAATATCCTCTTTAAGTACAAATAGATACTACATCATCATTATTTGAAAACAGTATTCTGTACAGAGTGGGTACTTAATACACATTTATTATTCAGTGAGCGTGGATGGTGAAGCTAGAACCACAAGGCTGTGTGTGTGCATTGAGAGCTGGCACGAGTTGGTGAGGACTGGTGGCATTTTAAACAGTAAATGTCATGGAGCCTGGTTTTTGGAGCTGCCAGTTTGACTGGGAAGATAAGCCTGATGAAATGCAGTGATGAAGAATGAGCCTGGAGCTGTCACATTTCAGATCAAGAGAGCACAGCCTAAGCAGAAGCCCAGAGGCTGGATGATTATGAAGGAAGCCAGCACTAGATTTGGGCCCACATGGAAAGTTCTAAGACCTTAGACAAGCTTCCAGCTATGATGTCAGAGGGGTGAGTGGAGTGTGGACAAGGGGCAGGAAGGGAAGTGAGGATTCCCAGAGGACACAAGGGCTCCCCCAGCAGCATCCAGCTTACCTCACTCCGGGTGAGCAGTGGTGGGATGCTGCAGATGGGCCTCAGGGCCAGATGCAGGTACTCCATCACCGTGGCTGTGTGGGGAGAGAGGGACCCATGACCAGGCTGCCAGGTTCTAGGCAACATCCAGGGGGGCCCTCAGGAACATATCAGTTGGGGGCATTATTTGCCTTGCTAGACATTTTGCAAAGTCTTCACTTTGCAAAAATTTTCTGTCCTCGGATTCCTTTAAGTCAGCAGTTCTCAGCACATGCTGGGTGCTTTATTTGACTGAGAAATGTGTCACAAGTAGTTGTTATTACATTTTAAGGACAGACTGAGGAGATTCAAAGCTACCTCACAGTAACGTCTGCCTCACTCACTTCTGTTCCAATCTGCTTTCTTGGGTAGGAGAGAAGGAAGCTGGGGTAATAGTTCTCACTGGGTTGCACTCTGGACCACTTTAAAAAATACTGATGCTAAGGGGCTGGAAAGAAGTATTCCAAGTCATGAAAGGCAAGAACCTACATCCAAGATTGCTCTATCCAGCAAAGCTTTCATTTAGAATGGAAGGGCAGATAAAGTGCTTCTCAGATAAGGTCAAATTAAAGGAGTTCATCATGACCAAGCCCTTATGTTATGAAATATTAAAGGGACTTATCTAAGAAAAAGAAGATAAAAAACATGTATAGGAAAATGATAGCACACTCACAATTATTAACAACCACACCTAAAACAAAAACAAAAACAAACTTAGCAAACAACTAGAACAGGAACAGAACCATAGAAATGGAGATCACATGGAGGGTTAGCAACAGGGGAGTGGGAGGAGGAGAGAGGGGAAAAAGGTACAGAGAATAAGTAGCATAGATGGTAGGTAGAAAATAGACAGGGGGAGGGCAAGAATAGTATGGGAAATGTAGAAGCTAAAGAACTTATGACACATGGACATAAGTCCATGGAGGAGGGTATGTGGGTGGGAGAGGGTATGCAGGATGGAGGGGAATGAAGGGGGGAAATGGGACAACTGTAATAGCATAATCAATAAAATATATATTTTAAAAATACTGATGTTCCCTCTCTCCCCTTGCTTCCCACTGATGCTGTCATTGTTCTGGGGTGTGACTAAGGCATTTTTATATTTTAAAAGCTCCCAGGTGATTCTCCCCAGGAACTATGAATTTCTATACAGCCCTCTAAAACTGCCAGGACCTGTGGCTCATCTTTTCTCAGCTGGGTAAAGGAGTGTCAGTCACTGTGGTGATGCTGTGCTTGAGAAGCCATCCCACCTGTGTGCCCAGTGGATAAAAGTGTGCAAGCATCCAGTGCAATTAAAGTACAAGTCAAGTTTTTTCAGGAGTACAGCCACCTGTGTCTTGAGGGCCATCTGTCCTCTGGGCAGAACACTTCCTGCCTGACACCTGCTCTATATTCTAGCCAGAGGGAGGCCAGTAGAGGGGTGCTGGGGTTATGAGTAGAGACTGATCTTCAGGGTAAGGAGAAGAATCGAGGGTCAAAACAGGACCTCCACATGTCCAAAAACAGCCTTAACTTCAGGGTGACCTTGGGGGACAGAACAGTCCCAGGGCTCCCTTTCCTCCTGACTTGCAATGCCTTTTAGCACAGGCCACAGGGCTGTGGAGTCAGCCGCTCAGGTGTGAATTCTGCCTCTCCTGCTTTTCACTGTGGCATGGTGGGAAGGCCTATCAGAGCCCAGTTGCCTCACCTTTACAATGGACCCAACGCCAAGTAGAATAGGGTCCTGGTGTTTTTTGTTGTTGTTGTTGTGGGTTTGGTTTTTTTTGTTTTTGTTTTTTTAGAGAGAGAGAGGAGAGAGAAAAAGATGCAGAGAAACATCAGCATGTGGTTGCCTCTCATGTGCACCCTACTGGGGACCTGGTGAGCAACCCAGGCAGATGCCGTAGATAGGGAAATTGAACCAGGGACCCTTTGGTTTGAAGGCCGGCACTCAATCCACTGAGCCACACTAGCCAGGGCATGGAATAGGGTTTAAACATGGTCAGGACTAGAGTGAAGGGAATGATGTGTTGGGGTCAGGCAAGTGCAGATCAGGCTTGGGGCAATTGAACACTGAGAATGAGGGTTTCCTTAAACTCTGTGCCTTCAGGGACTCACTCACCTCCACCTAGTCCTGGCCCTGGGTTTAAAATGTGATAATGCATGTTCACCTGATACATGGAGGTCTTTTGATAGACATATTCTTTTCTTACCTGTCAGGTAAACCCAGGAAGTAGGCACCTGGATCCATGGCTGGCTGTACCCCAGCTTCTCAAACTGCAAGGAAACATGGTCTGAGATGAAAACAGTCCTTCAGGTGCTGCTGTGGAAAGGACACATGTTCCCTTTACCCTAGGCCAACAGAGTTACCTCCTGGCCCCTTGCCCACCCACCCTGCTCCAGTCCCAAGCCAGTCTTGAAATGATATCCTCACTTGGAAAACTCAAGTAGGAATTGAATGCATGGCAGCAGGAGAGGGGTGTTAACTTGGGATCATTCAAATAATTTTTTTGAAATCCTCACCTGAGGACATGTTCATTGATTTTAGAGTGAGAGGAAGGAAGAAAGGGGGTAGGGAAGAGAGAGAAGAGAAAAGAGAAGAGGAGAGAGGAAAGAGAGAGAGGTGAGGGAGAGGGAGACATCGATGTGAGAGAAACATCCATCAGCTGCCTCCTGCAAGCACCATGACTGGGGATCAAACTCTCAACCTAGGTATGTGCACTGACTGGGAATTGAACCTGCAAACTTTGGTGCATGGGATGACACTCCAACCAATTTAGCCACCCAGCCAGGGCTCATATTGTTTTTATTTACATCTACCTACACCCAAAGACATTCCAAGTCACTTGTGTAGAACCTGATTTTTCTAAAATTGCTATTAAGGGGCAAAAAAATAGTCTATGTGTGGAGGGTGGTAGAAGATGCATGAAGAAAGGGGCTGGCACAGCATAAATTATATATAGGTCTTCATTTGTACAAAACTAATAGTAAAAAATGTTGCCAAGGATGTGGAGAAACTGGAAACTCTTACTCTGCTGGTGGGAATGTAAAATGGTACAGCCACTTTGAAAAACAGTCTAGCTAGCAGTTTCTCAAACGATTAAATACAGAGATACCATATGACCCAGCAATTCCACTCCTACATATTCTATGGGGACATAACCAAGAAAAATGAAAACATGTACACACAAAAACTTCTACATGAATGTTCATAGAAGTATTATGATAATAGCCCCAAACTGATACCCAAAATTGTATCAACTGATAAATAGATAAACAAAAGGTATGATATCTATGGAATGGAATATTTCTGGCAATAAAGAATAATTATTAATATGATCCATGCTATAACACGGATGAGTCTTGAAAACTATGCTAGATAAAAGAAGGCAGTCACAAAAGACCACATAATGAAAGATTCTGTTTATATGAAACGCCCAGAACAGGCAAATCTATACAGACAGAAAGTAGATTAGCAGTAGCCTAGGGCAGGGGGGAAAAATGACCACTAAAAGACATAGTTTTGGAGGGGGTTCCTTTTTTGGAGGGTAATGAAATGTTCTAAATGTATTATGGTTGCACAATTCTGAGTATGCTAAAAACCATTGAATTGTATGCTTTAAGTGGGTGAATTATATGGCATATGAGTTATATCTCAATAAAGTTGTTAAAAATTGACGTGCCAGGGCCTGAGTGCCCTGAGGGTGTATCTTTCAGCACAGGCATCTGTAGCCCCTTTGTCTGGGCTCCAGAAGGAGTCTGTGGGCTTCTGGGAGAGGTGGCCAGGGTTCTGGAAGGGGCTGTCATCAGGAGGCCCCAGGACCAACACTTTCCTTCGTGTTTCAGGCCACTTTCTACTTACCACTTCGAGAGTTTCACCACACAGTATGATGGATCACAAGCAAAACTCCACAGGGTGAGCAGTCAGCATCAATCAGGAAGCAGGCTGGGAGGGACTATTGCAAATCGAGGGGGCACAAGGCCTCCCAAAGGGGAAGCCACAGCTCAGCTCCAGTCAGTGACAATGTCATCCAGTGGACACTGTTTCCAGAACTGGTTTGGAATGTGAAATCTGATTTTTAAGAAGTAGGAAAGGATGACAGGGAGAGAAGAGGTGGGGAATCCCTGAATTCTCACTTGAGGTGGGGGTGAGGCATATGAGCACCTACCAGTGGGGCCATCCACTCAAAGAGGTTGACGCTCTCCCCGTCGTTGATGTAGTATGCCTGACCGCTCTGAGGGCGGGAGGTGGGGGCAGCAAAGGGGAATAGTCAGGCAGATAGATGCTGGACACCTGACTCTGCCTCTCAGATGGCTCCTAGCATCTGCCCAACACCCGAGTTCTCCTAAGCAGCCACCGAGGAGAAAAACTCAGTCCCCATTCCTAGACAGACCTGCGCAATTCCCTTTCAGTTCTGGAACTGACTAGCAGTGTGACCTGGATAGAGTCACTTAACCTCTCTGTACCTTAGTTTCTTAATCTGAAAAATGGAAGCATAGTAATGGGATCTCTTGAGCTGTTACAAAGATTAAATGAGACAGTGTATGTTAAATGTTTAGCATTTGGAGACCAACATCTGGGGTCAACAACACCTACCTCACAGGGTCACTGCTAGAAACTAATGATGCTCTATAAAGACCCCCTTCCCTGCTGCCCCCCACCCCTCCCCAAGCGTCCCTGGCCAACAGTCCCACTAGCCATCTTGAGATGGGGAGAAAGGTATGTGAGCCAGGAATCCCTTAGGGATGGGCACTTGCCTGCAGCCCTTGGTGGGGGGAGGAGGAGTAGGGAGCATTGCAGGGGACTCACGGCTACATAGCCCTTGGCCGCGGTGAGGGCCTCAGCTGCCAGTACGTGTGCTTGCACCAGATTGTGCACATGCACCCAGTTCATCCTTGTCCTTCGGTCCCCAAATCGGAACATGAACAGTCTCTTCTTGATATGGCTCTGGGTGAAGGTGGGGGGGGGGGGAGACTGTTTGAGGAGCAGTGAACACTGACCCAAGCCTAGGTGGCTTTAAATTTCATCTCTTCGCTGATGGGTCCTGAATTTCTAGCTCCAGACCAGAGCCCTATGCTCCAACCCCATGTACCAGGAACCTTCAGTTGTCTGGCAGACAATGCAAACTTGGCTGTTCTGGAGCGAGCACCTGACCCTTCCTCTCCCTCAATACGCTTCTCCCTCCCATCTGAACTGACAGTGCTCTAGGCTCAGGTTAAAGTCCTAGGGCCACCTTGCTCTCCCTTCTCTCACACCCCCATCCAGCTCACCTGCAATTCCAGCTGGCTCAACTGTTACAATCTGTTCAGAATTGACCGATTCTCATCACCCTGCCTGCCACTCTCTTCTCTCACCTGGATCCCCAAAAAGCCTCCTAATGAGTCCCCTGCTGCTGGTCTCCATGAGGCCAGGGGATCCTTTTAAACCCTAAGTCAGAGGACATGTCTTCCTGCTCAGCACTTCCTGGTATGCCCATCTCACCAGGCTGAAGGCCTCGATTCTTACAATGCCCTTTCTGATCTGGCGCCAGCTTTTCTCAGACTACAAACCCTCTTTGCTTGTCAGGCTCCAGCCCTGCCTCCTCCTGGGAACCTGCTGGCAGGTTCCCACCTCAGGGCTTTGAGCTTGCTGTTCCCTCTGCCTGGAGGGCTCTTCCTCCAGATTCCTGTGTGATGCACTCTCATCCCCTTAAATTGATGCTCAGATGTCCCTGCTTGATGACACTCCTGACTGCCAGCCCTCCCAGTTTCCTCATCCTTTAACATTTTTCGTTTTTCTCTGTAGTAGCTGGTACCTCTGAACACTCCTCATTATTTACCATGTTTATTATATATCACCTTGTGTGAGAATGTAAGCCCTACAAGGAAAGAAACTGTGGTCTGTTTTGTTTATTGATCTGTCCCCAAACCTAGAACACTAATCTTTCTCATGTCCAGGTTTGTGCCCAAGCCCCCTCTTCTGCTTACATCACCTTCTCTCTACCACCTCATTTCCTTGGTTAGTTTCTGCTTCTCTTTCCAAACAGCTCAGGCATCACTTCCTCCAGGAAAGTCCTCCTGGACTTTCCCTCTCTAATGTACTCCCATCTTCTTGTTCTTCCCTCTATACAGCCCTTACCACACTGAATCTGGGACCATAGCAGCTGTCTCCTTGACCAGGCTGTGAGAAATCTGAGGACAGGACCTACTAAAGCCACCTTGTTCCCAGCCTTGGATCCATAGCTCTGTGCCTGCCACCCATGCCTAGGCCTGGCTGGCAGACAATGAGAGCTGTTCCTGGTGGGTCTGATGGAGTCTGGGCACCTTCTAGAACTAAGGGCTCCAGGCTAGGGACACTGTCCCAAGACTGATGCAGTGACCATGGGCTGGGATGACCCTACCCACAAGAACGACCCAGGCTCCTCTTGTGTCTCAGACCCAAGGCTGGAAGGACATACCGCCACACGGGGCAGGTGCCTCTGCTCTTCAGGGCCGTAGATCCCTGGGGGCCGGAGCACACACGTCCGCAGATTGCCTCCTCCTAGGACACAGGGGAAGGCATTCAGGGGAAAGACAGACTAGCAGGGAGAGGGACAGAATGACTGTCCATATCTCCTGGTCCTTACATGGACAGGTTAACAGGGAACACAGGCCCTTGGGACTTCCTCATTCAATTAATTATTCTCTCAGTCAACAGTTAGTCACTTAGCAAACACTGTTCAGAGATTTTCCCCTTCTCCTCTTGCTTTCTGCACTGGGCATTGGGATGTATGTATGCTGTGGAGAATCTAAAGGTGATCAAGAATGGTTCCTGCCCTTATGTTGTTCATGGGCCAGTAATGGATAAGAGCTGGAGCAGGTGTATGAATGTACCTTGAGAGTCATGACCTCCTTTAACTCCCTACTGTACCCATTTGCAGATGTGCACAGACCCACACTCCCTTGTGCCAAGAGCTATAGTTGTTTCCTTTTTCTGATCATCAGTTACATAAGGGCTATGATGACTCTTAGGGGAGCTCTACCTTGTGCCTAGTCTTCTGGTAAGCCTCAATTTTTCTCCCTCAAGGCAACTCTTTGAGTCCATGCTCAGAGGAGGGATGTGATTTGCTTAAGGGCACACAGTTTGGCCTAGTGGTGCTGAGATGGAGGGCCAAGGCCCAGGCTCTTCCCACTAATACCCCTGCCTCCTGGTGATATGACATAAAGAAAGGACGAGACTAGAGCCATCGTCACAAATGCCTGCCCCCTAACTCTTATTGCTGCCCTGTGCCGGCAGGGTCCCCCAGACCAAGACAGAGAGCTGGGTCCAGGGCTTCTCAAATTCTCTGTCAGGGAGCCCCCACTGGGCAGGGTGGTGAGTGTTATCTCTCTCCCCTGGGGAAGTCTGGGGGTGTAGCCTGAAGAGCTGCCACAATATTTAGTTTTTTATTTATTGATTTTAGAGAGAGAGAAACATTGATTTGTCATTCCACTTCTCTATGGTTGCTGCTTGTCTGTGCTCTGACAGGGGATCAAACCTGCAACATTGGTGTATTGAGATCACGTTCTAACCAATCAAGCTACCCAGCCAGGGCTATTTCTTTCAAGTATTAAGAAAGCCTACAAAATTTTCAATTTACTCATATACTCCATTTGTGTTTAAGATTTACATATTGAAAAATTTCTTATTTGTAAATTATTCGACTGCCAACCCCAACTCCTAACTGAGATGGAATCTCCTGCACAAAGTTCTGCTTGGGGATCCCAAGCAGCTACACCCCCAGTTTGGAAAGCTCAGTATAGACTATCTTCTGAGACCAGAAGTCCACCTTCTTTTGGGGACACCCTCCCCCTCTGCATGAAGTCTAGGAGGACTGTTAGTCTAGATGTGCCATTGTCCCGAGGTAACAGCCATGGCATCCAAGCTGGGCCAGTGACATGTTCTCATGCAGGAATGTGATTCCAACATCTCTGGCATTGGGACCTAAACTCCTAGGAGTAGGTTTACTCAAAAGATTGATCATCAGCTCCTGCTACCCAGGTCTCCCCAGGCTGCCCCAACCCTGTCCCTTTTAAGCCCTGGTGGTCATTTTTCTGGAAATATATTTTCCAGAAGCTATCACACATACTTCCAGTGTAAGTCCCCTTTTCCCCATAAATTAGCCAGGGCCAGTGTCTCCAGGTTGTAGTCAAACACCCTGACTGCTTCCCCATCCAACACCCTTACTTAGCAGTGTGGTCCAGTGTAGTGGATTGAGTGGTGGCCCAGAAAGATCTGTCCATGTCCCAGAATCTGAGGACATGGCCTGATTTGGAAAAAGAATCTTTGTACTTGTCATTAAAGACCTCAAAATGAGATCATCCTGGATTATCTGGGTGGGCCCTGATCCCATGCCAAGTATCTTTATGAGACTCAGGAAGAGACAGAGGGAGAAGGGAAGGCCATGTGAAGACAGAGGCAGAGACTGGAGTGATGCACCCACACACCAAGGAATGAATGGAAGAGAGAGAGAAGGGTTCTCCCCTAGGGCCTCAGAGGGTGTGCAGCCCAACTGACACGTTGATCTCAGACATTTGGCTGTGACTCTGAGAATGGTGAGAGCAGAAATTACAGTTGTTTAAAGCCACCGGGCATGTAGCAATTTGTCCTGGTGGCCTCAGGACACTAATGTACCCAGAGGCAGGAGGACATAGTCAGGTTCATGCTGAGCTGGGGTCTGCACATCTCCGGACTCTGTCTCAGGGACCAGCACCCTCCATGGTCAGTTAGAGGCAGAATCTCAGAGACCAGCTTGTGTAGTAAAGACTGGAAATCACCCAGGTGATCGTGGCTGGAGTCCTGGAAGGTAGGTATCAGGTAAGCTTTTCTGTAAACAGCCCGCAGCTAATTTTAAACTCTGGGTCACCTGGACATGGAGGGAGGAGGTCGGGTTGCAGTGCCATTGGCCATTAGGGCACTCGGCAGCCACATCACAGAGGTGCTGGGCCCTGGGTATCCATGACTCTTTTGATCATGGGAAGCTGGGAATGCTCATATAAATAATTATTGGCCAGAGGATTAGGTGTCTGGCTTATATGCTGCTGGTCCAGTAGGGTATGCCCTAGGTAGAGAAGAGAATTCAACTGCACAGGGTCAAACCTCTAGGAGAACACAACTGGAAGTTCCTGACAGGCCCAGGATGATAGGGTAAGGTGGAGAGGATTTGGGGGGAAAGAGCTCATTCTCAGAGAGACTATGTCAACTGTGGCTATAGTGTAGCATGATGGTTAGTCCCTAGGCTCTGGTATTAGATTCCTGGGGTAGAGAAGGGGTCCATATCCCATCTCTGCCACTTAATAGCTGTGTGACTTTAGTTAAGTCAGGTAACCTCTCAGCTTCAGTTTTCTTCTCTGAATTTCAGGGGTTTATAATTACAAGCATCCCTCGCTTTCCCAATCCAAACTGGTCCCTGAGTTTAGGTAGTAAGGGTAACTGAGTTCTCTGATTTGTTTTAGTTTCTGAATTTTGGAAAGCAAATAATGAATGTATCTGGTTCCTGAGTTTGGAAAGCAAGAGAGATCTACAGATGCTGTGAAGAGTTATTATGACTTTTGCCCATAAAATTGTCATGTGAAATAAGCACTTGATAAATGCAGACTGTCCACATTCTACCTTTTAATAGTGCCCATCATTATTTTATCCTCATGTTAAGAATTTTTGAGGTAGATTTCACTAACATCTACATTTCTCTATAGATGAAGAAACTGAGGCAGGGGATAAATACATTGCCTAGAGCACATAGCTAAGAATTGGTGGAGCTTGGATTTGAACTCAGTTCAGCTGGATGTCAGTTTGTGGTCATACTGCCACCTCTCTACATTCTATTACCACTTCTCTATAGCCAAAAAAGGTGATGCTGTAAGGCACAAGGCCAGTTTTTCTGGGAGTTATTGATGGTTAAGCTTTAGGGCCCTTCACTTGCATACCACCCTTCCAAAGTGTTTTACCTCATTCCATATTCATAATTGTGCACTCTTTTACCTAAAGAGGGCCTTAAACTGGAACCACTCTGATCTGGTCTTTTCCCCATCAGACCATGAGCACTGTGAGGGCAGAGACTGGAGCCTGACTTTTTCTGGGCTGTATCCCTGGTAGGGGGTGGGCGCACAGCAAGTGCTCAGATCTGTTGAATGATGAATGACCAACGCCCTGGGGAAGTGTCCTTTGGAAGAAAATGGACCTCAGAAACATGTTGGCTAAAAGCTAGAACCACATATATCTTTCAGGGAAGGCAGCAGGGGGCACACGCACTTGCTGTGAGCAGGGCCCCACTAGACTTACCTGGGAGAGGCATTCCATTGGCCATGAGGGTCAACTGGTCGGCGATGGCTTTGGTTCGGGAGTAGTGGTCCATGTGCTGGCAGAGGGCAGGCAGAACAGCCAATGACGTTGCGGGCAAGGCCTACACAGCCTAGTTGGTCCCAGCCCAGCCCCAGGGCTGACCTTGGCTTTAGCCCACATAAGGGTTGGATTCTGGGGACTTGTAGTGGGAAATGGCCAAGCCCTAAGCCCCACTGCCCCTCTTCTCCCTCTGGGTGGAAGCCACAGGAGCAATTCGGGGAGAGGAACTGAGTTCAGGGCAATAACATGACCAAGGGCTCCTCGACTCGGGGAGGCTCCTGCCAGCCCCAGATGCCTCCTCTGGGGCACTGATGCTAGAGGTGTCACACATAGCTCTTCAGGGTTCACGTGGTCTTTTTGCATACACCACCTCACTTCCTACTCTCCACAACCTCACAGGGTATGTATAATGCCGAGAAGAAGAAGAAGAAAAGACAGGCTCAGAATAAAGTGACTTGCTCAGGGTCAGGGAAAGTGGCTTAAGGCCAGGTCTATCTGATTTCAAAGTTGCTGTTAGCATGACCAGGTGAAATAGAAGAGGGCTTGTGCCACCCAGTGTTGGGACCCCTTCTTCCTGGGATCATACTACATTGTGGAATGACTCTGGCTCCACCCATCCCTTCCTGTGGGCTGTTGTCCCAGGCCCACTGGCCCAGCTCACTTCTCCTAGAAGCTAGGTACCTTCTCCAGAGGGAAGTATGGCACAGAGTCCTCATCGCCCTCTTCTATGGGCTTCCCACCGAAAGCAACGTTGACGGTGCTGGTATAGACGAGCCTTGGAACCCGCTGGCGGACACAAACTATGGCAACAGATGCAGAAAGTCAGACACACATGGATAATGTGTTCAAGCAATTGGCTGAGGAGCTGCTGGACCCTGGAGCCCTCACTGAATGTACAGCTGCTCAGGAGGGAAGGACATCCTTTGTTTAATTTGGGATATGGGTCTAGTCTCTGCTCTGTGGGATCCTGGATGGCATGTCAGCTCACTCCTCCTCCTCAGTGTGGCTGTGGTCCCTAATCTACCTTGCTAGGGACAGCTCAGAAGAAAGTCTCACTCAGTGGGGTCACACAAAAATACACACTCTAGAATCAGATAGAAAAATGAGATGCAGAACATGCCCAGAGAGCCCAGATGGGGATCTTCTATTTTGGTTCTTCAGTGACTTTGCTTACTCCTGACCCCTATGCCCTGAGGGCAAACTCTGCTCCCCGTGTCCCCAGACATGTAATACCACACTGACCCACCCCGTGCAGGATTCTGGGCAAGTCTGCAGCACAGGAAGGACATGCTGCCCACAGGCCCTCTGCTAGGGCCTGTGGGGTGGGGATAGGTGGGGGGCAGGAAAGGCAGCAAACGCATGGCAGGCCACACTCAGCTCCAAGTGCCTACCATCAATCACCAGTTTGGTGCCACCAACATTTATAGACTCAATCTGCTGTTTTTGAAGCTAAAAGACAAGATGAGGTGGGAAAATCGCAGAGCTTCCTCCCTCCCTGTCACCAAGGCTGTGAGGGAGGGGACTGTAGAATGTCCAGCTCAGAGGCAGGGCTCTCAGAGGGCCAAGAGCAGAGCCCTGGGCTCAGGGCCCATCCCTGCCACTGTCTTCCTAGGCAGTCGGGGAGGCTCTGTCCCCCTCTGGTTGTCAGCTTCTTCATCTGGAAGGTGAGGGCAAACCTCTTTCTGTGGTCGGCAGGATAAAATAAGCCCCATGGGAGGAGGTGGGACAGTGCTTGGCACAGAAAAGGGACTCAAATTGTGTTGGATTGTTTCCTCACCCTAGGAGTCTGTTTCCTTATCTGTATGATGGACACAGTGACACTATTCATGCCCTAGCAAAGGGGCTGAAGAGTGAAATATAAAAACAGCTGGTTTTCAGTGAGAGCAGTTTGTGTGCCATAGACAGGACAAAGCTTTACATGTCATCTAATCCTTACATCCATACCAGGAGTTGGGTTCTACATTGACTTTTAAACTATATTTATTCTTGCTATGGTTTTCTTTGTTTAACGGGTAATTCAGTCATAAGGTTAAAAATCATTCAAACAGTTAAAAGGGTTTACGGTGAAAAGGAAACTGACTTCCTTCCCACTCCTGATTCCATCTCCCTTTGCCCTCCCCAGAAGCAACCACATTTCCAGTCTTGTCTATTTCTAGAGGTTATCTACACTTATTAATATTGGCACATATGGATGTGTGAGTGTATAAATCTTGACCCTAATGGGGTTTTTTTTGAGCAAATACGAAGATATCAAGTACTGTTTCTGCAACTTGGAAATTGTTCAATATCAACATATTGAGTTACCTCATTCTTTTGGACTTCATGTGTGGATATAGCATAACTTATATAAATAGTCCCCCACTGAAGGGCATTTTTTTATTATTTCCTTGCTTTGTTATCAAAAACAGTGCCATAAATATGCAAATAAGTATAGCTTCTGAGTCAGAAGTTTTGATAGGTACTGTTGATATAAGTACTAGTTAACATCTTCACTTTACAGATGAAGAAAGGGAAGCTCAGAGAGGTTATGTTAACTTGCTCTAGGTCACACATATAGCTAGAAGCAGCAGAACTGGCATTTGGTCCTATGTTGCAAAATGCAGGCTGGGTATAAGCCAAACCCTTCCTGGGGTAGGTGAGGAGTATTAATGAACACACGGGCCCAAAGGTAAGGCCAGGGGACAGAGCCAGGATCTGACCCCAGTCTGTTAACTCCAGGTACTGTATGTGAGGTACTCACCTTCTCAGCACCAGACATTCCATGGGAGGCCACATGGAAGACACAGTCCACTCCTTTAAAGGCATGCAGCAGGGCTTCCTCATCTCGGATGTCAGCCTGAAACACAGAAAAAAGAGATGGAGTAGGAGGTTTGAAGACCAAGGCAGAAATGCCAACTGTGCACCTTGCTGGGTCCTAGACCTGGCTCTCTGACCCCACCCAGGCTGAGCACATGTAGGACCAGGACAGCTGGGGGCAGGATTTATGATTCCACAGGGTGTCATCACCACCCTCAGCCCCATTTGTCAAGCTGAGTCACAGGGGCTGTGTTTGATGTGTCCTGTGCACTCTTATCAAGCCCCCATGAGACCCTTGTGAGGCAGATATTGTAGTGTCCCCTTTCTCTGGATGATGACAGGAGGCTCAGAGATGTGGAGCCTTGTGGCCATGGCTGTCCAGCTGGGAAGTACCGGGGCAAGAGCTGGAGCTTAAACAGCCTGTGCTCTTCTTTAATGCCATGCCACTGGTTTCATATTGGATACTGTCTCTGGACCTCCACCACCAGCCGGGGCCCCCACATGTTCCCAAAGACCCTCATCGCTGCACCTGAATGAACTCAGTCCCTGGGGACAGCTCCCACTGGGGTCTGCGGAGGTCAAGCAGGATGACAGAAGTGCCACTTTTGGCCAGGCTGGAACCCAGACTAAAGCCCAGGTAGCCTCCTCCTCCAGTTACCAGAACCTTCTGCCTGGGAGCCTCCATAGGTGTGGTTTGAATCTTCTGCTGTGATGCTGGTGGTGGGGCTGTCATTGGCTCATTGGATTTGGGACAAGTCCCAGACCCATGTCTGAGCCCAGACCCTACCCCTGGTCCAGGTAATGATGCAGCTCCTGGCCCAGGGCCCAGGCCTGAAGCAGCCGCAGGTACAGGTCCCCGCCCACGGCCCAGAACAGCACCAGGCCCCGGCCCAGGTCCTGAAGCAGCACCAGGTCCCGAAGCAGCACCAGGTCCCGAAGCAGCACCAGGTCCCAGCCCAGGTCCCAAAGCAGCACCAGGTCCCAGCCCAGGTCCCGAAGCAGCACCAGACCAGGGCCCAGGTCCCGTAGCAGCACCAGGTCCCGGCCCAGGTCCCGTAGCAGCACCAGGTCCCGGCCCAGGTCCCGTAGCAGCACCAGGTCCCGGCCCAGGTCCCGTAGCAGCACCAGGTCCCGGCCCAGGTCCCGAAGCAGCACCAGACCGGGGCCCAGGTCCTGTGGCAGCACCAGGTCCCGGCCCAGGTCCCGAAGCAGCACCAGACCGGGGCCCAGGCTCTGACTCAGGCCCTGGGCCTGAGACTCCTCCCCACACCTGGCAGACAGGGCAGTTCTTCTCCCTTTGGCCTGCAGCTTTGCAGGCCTCTGGAGAGGAGCCTGCTGGGTTGGGCTTCATCCTCTACGGAGCCATGTGGACCCAGGATCCGTCCACCTGTAGGGAAAAATAGAAGGTATGTTCTAGAGTTGTTTAAGTCACATGGATGATCAGACCCCTAGGGGTCAAGGGAAATTCCTGGGTTCAAAGAAAACTTGTCTCTTTCAGAATCTTTAGAACTTCCAAGGCGGCTGTTGCCTTACTCAGAGAGAATCAGAGACAAGGCAGTCAGGTCTTAGATCTTACAACTGGGGAAACTAAGGCCCAAAGTCACACTGCATGGATGAGGTTTACACCAAGTATTTGTGACTTGTCTATCAGTTCTTTAAAATCCCAGTTTTCATGTAATACCAGAGAAAGACAGATCCAATCACATCAAATCTCACCAGATTGGGGGGGCGGTGACTGCTTTCTGACTGGGGAGCTATAGAGGTATTCCTGAAGGAGGAGGAGGAAAAGAAAGGGGAGAAGGACGACGGGGGAGGAATCTACATGGGATCCAAAAGGGCTCTCTGCCCTGGAAATTTGCACATGCTTCCAAATGCTGCAGCCAGCCCCATTCTGGTAATTGTTGCCTCTGGTTCTCCCAGATCCTCTAGCAATACAAGTGGCTAGCACTACAAGGTCTGCCCAGGCCCACCCCAGGCTTCAGAGTTAGGTCTGGGGGCCTCAGGGGCTAGCACTTGAGGAGCCTGTCCTCCTCACTCTAGACTTAAAGCAAGCTAGGCTGTCAGTCACTGTCACCATCATCGTCCCACCTCTTGCTGCACCTGAGGATGAGGCTGGATCAGGGGCCAGACACAATCATCATCGCTAATGACAGCAGGAACATGTACTGTGGGCCCACTGTGGGCCAGGCCCAGTAGATACAGAAATAGGTAAGTCTCTGCTCTGAGTGGAAGATAGTGACTGTAAAAAAAAGAACAGGTGTGACTGAGTGACTGAATGATGAACCCCACGGTTGTTGCTGGTGGTTGGTGGCCATGGGACAGGGGCCCTGACAGCTGCAGGGACTAGATCTTTTTGTTACCTCTGTCACTGCCCTGTTCTCCAAAGCTCTGAGTGAGGAGTAAAGTCATGCCCTGTACAAGCCGTAGCAGACATGGTTTTCACAGGGGGAAGACACGCCAAGATCTATCCTATGAGATGATTTTAGTGGCATAGCCTGGGCACAGCCTTTGCGTACCTTTTTTCTGGGTGCACCCTGGGCAAGATGCTTGAAGACCTAACAGCACATACGTATCTACAGCTGTAAATGGACCCAAATAACCCTGGCTGCACGGTAAACCTCACAGGGAGGTCCTGAGAGGGCGGATGGCAATGCCCAGGCAAACCATTGGATCACCGTCCAGGAGGACCCTGTCGGTGGTGTTCCCAGCACCTAGAACTGCATCGGGCACCAAGCCAGGCTTCAGTAACAGCCTCGGAGCAGGGGAAGCCCCTTAGGGCTGCATCTGGGAGTGAATGCTGTGGCCACTGACAGCGGACACTGCTGCATTTTTAGTTCTGGGGAGTAGAGGTTGCTGTTCCCATCATGCAGAGATGGAAACTGAGGCTCAGAGAACATTTGCAAACTTCGATGGAGTCACAGATGGTGACTCCAAAGCAGGGTTTGGTGAAAGGGGGTTGGGACCCACCCCGGCCGGTAGTCCTCCCCGGGCGGCAAAAGCGGGTGCCCCCCAACACCGAGACTGTCCTGGTGCCCGAAGCTGAGGCCAGGTTCTCCTTCCCACCTCCCGCAGCCCCCAGCTAGCCAGCAGCGCTCACCTAGCCCTGCTCCCCGTGATTGGGCTCCCGGCGCTAGTGCTAGCGAGCTGCAACTGCCGCGCGTCTCTCGCCTCTCGCCGGCGCCAGCGACCCTGGAAAGCCTGGCGCTGCAGCGGCTCCACCTCCTGGGGAGGTGTGGCGGGGGTAGAGGGGTAGGGAGCCGGAATGCGGGGCGGGGCGGGGCGGGGCGGGGCCGGGCTCCCTGACTGCCTAGCGCCTCCTCCCTCCTCCCCCGGGTTCTCGGCGGAGGGCGGAGATCCACAGGCTCTCACTGAGGGGATATTGAAGGTAGTCGACTGGCGAGAAAACGTGCAGTCACTGCATGCCCGGCCCTGTCCTGCTCACAGTCATCCATCTAGTCTCCAGCACGTTCCTTTGTTCATCCTGCCAGCCCTCACTCCTCAGCTATCCATCATCCTACTCATTGTTCCGCCCATCTCTGTCTATTCATCCATCCTTCCCTATTAAAAAAAATTCTTTTGTCCATTCATGCATTCATCTATCCATTTGTCTTTCCACCTATCCATTGAGCATCTATAATTCACTCCCTATGTCTTCCTTTGCTCCCTCCCACCCATCCACCCTTCCTTTCCTGCATTCTTCCATCCAGTTTCTGGGTTCACCCATTCTCCAGTGCCTTCATTTCATGCTTAAGGAATGCTTCTTCAGCGCTGGCCTTTCTCTTCCTTGCAGGAGGACGCAGATGGATCACACCATCGCTAAAAAACTCATTTGTAAGTGGCAGTAAACTGATCGAGGGGCAGGCATGTGCAAACAGCTTGCACAGCTGCTCTGATAGAACTGAGGGACCTCTGCCCAGAAGGCCAACTCAGCAGGAGGGCTGGTTACTTTGGTCTGATGAGGGCCACAAGAAAGGCTTCACCCATAGGAATGGCCTATGGGCACAGCTGAGTGTGGGAGAGAAAAAACTAAATCTGAGCCAGCACATGCTATGTGCAGGGGGTAAGATATCTTGCTTAGCCCTCATAACTCTGTTTTAGCTCAATTTTAGAGACAGGGAAACCATTTCAGAGAGATGAAAGGGGCTCAGAGTATAGTGGCCAAGGCATGGGATCAGCCTTGGGTTTAAATCTTGGCTCTGCCACTTTCTTGTTCTGCTTTTGGTCAGCTACAAGGCTCAGTTTCCTCATCCATAAAGTAGAACTGGTGTGTACTTTACAGCTGTGACATTGTGAGGCTTGTGGCTAATGAGGTATATGCAGAATGCTGAGTGCAGTGCCTGCCCAGTCAGTGATCAACCAGTGGTAGCTGCTATCACTACATGAGAAATTAGAATTCAAACCTCGGTCCTATGCTTCACCACTTCACAAACCATGTCTCTGTTTCATCCTTTCATTCACAAATATCAGCCCCCCTCTCCCATCAGCAGGGCCAGAGAACTCATATTCCCTTGCGCAGCTGGTTGGTGGTATCCTGCCAAGAAGCGTAATTTATAACACAGTGTCTATGGGTTGTTTTGTGCCCCATCTCCAATTCATATATTGAATTCTTAACTCCCAGTACCGCACAATAAGACCTTAGTTGGAAAGAAACTTTATAGATGTAGCTATAGGTGAAGGACATTAGAGTAGGGCCCTAATCAGTATGAGTGGTACCCTCATAATGGGAAATTTGGACACAGGCATGCACACAGGGAGCCCACCACGTGAAGACTGCAGTGATGCTGCCACAAGTCAAGGAACTACCAGAAGCTAGGAGAGAGCCCAGAACAGACCCATCCCAGTGACTTCAGAGGGAGGACAACCCTGCTGGTACCTTGTCCTGGAACTTCCAGACTCCAGAACTGGAGGCACTAAATTTCTGTTGTTTCAGTCACTTGGTCTGTGGTATTTTGTTATCACAGCTCTAGAAAAGTTACAACTACCACTAGCCATCTTCTCTGTGTGGAGGTGATTCAGAAGGCCAGCTGTCCAAGACAGTGGCCAGACAAATCCACTGTGTCAGGGGACCGTGGTCACTGCTATCTCCCTTGGCCCCTCCTGGAGCTTGGGCAAAGCCAAGCCTTGTTAAGCCAACTGTGTTTTTAAACAACTTGATGAATTTTACTTACTTATACATCAATGTAACCACCACGCAGATCAAGAGAGAGCATCTCCAGCATACCAGCATACCAGATGGCCACTGTGTGAGCCTGGCGTGCCCTCCCCACATAGCAGGTACCCACTATTCTGATTTAGGTTCCCAACAATAGTTTTGCCTGTTCTTGTCTTCATGTAAATGGAGTTATACAGTATGTGCTCTTTCATGTTCTTTTGCCGAATATTGCTCATAAGATTGATGCATCTTGTTGAATACAGATGTCAATTCATTTTTCTCAATTGACCAGTAGTATAGTATGCCATTGTACAAATGTGTCACATGGATGAACATTTATATTGTTTGCAATATTTGCTTCTGTGAATAAAGTTGCTATGAAACATTCTGGAATGTGTCTTTTGTCGAACATATGCACTCATTTCTCTTGGAGTAGAATTGCCAGTGTAGAATATGCATATTTTTTACTTTAGTGGAAACTGCCACACAGTTTCCAAAGTGGTTAAACCAATTTACATGTCCCCCTGCCCTGCCCTGGCTATGTATGAGATTTCCAATAGCCCTGTATCTTCATATTGTCAGTTTTTTAGTTTTAGCTACCCTGGTGGGTGTGTAGTGGTATCTCATTGTGGTTTTAATTTGCATTTCACTGACAGGTAAGTTTGTTAAATACCTTTTCCTATTGTCCTATACCTATTGCCCATTTAAGTCTTTTGTCAATTTAAAAAGGCTGAAATGTTTATCTTTTTCTTATTGATTTGGAGTTCTTCATACATTCTGAATGAGTCTTTTAATAAAATTTTATCTCACCAAAAATTTATTCACACACATATAAATAATCACTTCAGTTTAAAAGTAATTTTGATCCTATTAAATAAAAGGATTTTTTCTGTCTTAAAAAAATGACCCCAGATCACATACTACATGACACATTCATTTCATATGTACATGGTGGAACTGGGCCAGCAGACCCCATCAAATTCCCACATGCTTGAGTAGAGCACTCTCTCTGGACTGGATTCCAGAGCTGACTCAATTCAGTTTGGCTGAGCCAGGGGTGGGGGAGGTTGGCGATGAGGCTCACATGTTTCTTCTTCCTCCGGGATGGGCTGATGGTGGATGTGCACAGCCCCTTGGACCAGGATGGTGGGATGCACAGAGTGAGGGGACCAGGATCTGGCCTCTGGTTTCCAGAGCTGGGCTCTTACAACTAAGCTGCATGCTCCATGTTTACTACATATCTACCACATAGCAGGTTATGGGGACCCAGAGATGATTAAGACACCAGCCTCTTGCTAAGAGAATGCATGGTTAAGCAGAAGAATTGATGAAGGGAGCAAGGAAGCATGACATGGAGTGCTAAGTGTAGTAAGTGTTGTCACATCTGTAAAGACAAACGTTTGGTCAGGATGCTATGGGAGGAAGGCTAGAGGCTCCCAGCTCTTGATGGGTCCCAGAGACATCTTCAGAGTGGAGCTGATGCCATTTGATTTGTGCCTTGATGAATGAGCAGGAGTCACCAGGCAGAGGATGGCAAGAAGGATATTCCAGGGAAAGAGCTTGGTGCAGGGCTTCCCAGCAAGAGACAATCTTGTGACTAGAATGTAGGGCGTGAATGTTAGGGTAGATCCTGGGATGGCAGAGCCTTTCCTCCCTCAGCTTCCAGGGAGTCCTGGTGCAGGAACAGTATCTCCTGGGATGTGGGCCACAGCTTGCCTGGTCACTTTGCCCTCAGGGTCAATATGTGCTTAGTAGGTGGTTCTTTGTAGGATGGTCTTTCTGTTTAGAGGAATCACTATTTTTGATCCCTTCTAATAGATACTACTATCCACAAAACAGAGCATGCTTCCTGGCCCTTAGTGAACACTCAAAGGATGGGGAGTCCATCCCCTTACCTGAGATGACTTCTCTACAAAATAATCACATGACCTTTGTTATGTATTGTTTTTCTTCTGGAACTGGGACCTAGTAGACAGGAATGAAAGAATATGGTCCCCTCAGTGCTCAGATTTCTGGGCCCAGAGGAAAAGAGCATGGTAGGAGGAACCCTTGGAACAAGGGTACATGACCAGGGCAGTAGGACTGGAGCCATGTGGCAGGTGGGAGGGACTGCTTGGAGGGCATACCTGAATGACTGGGCCTGCCAGAGGAAGGTTCTGGCTTTAGTGATCTCCTGGGCCAATCTCTTTAAATCATCTCCTTCAAATGATGGCAACATGGAGTCCTTAAGAAAGAGAAATAAGTGTTATGTTAGACCCAGTAAGTGACTAGATGGGACCTGAAAGAATTTTAGAGCTAATTAAATGCAGCCTCCTCCCAGTGCAGGAAATCTTGTGGACCTCAGCTCTCATGATTTCAGGGACAGGGAGCTCATTACTTGCTAAGGGAGTCATTCTGCAAACAGGATACTTTGAAAGAAGATGTCTAAATGTCAGTGTAGGAAGCGGGTAGTAAAAAACAAAGATGGTCTCTTGTCTTCACTGAAGTCAGTGGGGCAAGTGGTATATGCTCCTAATCTCACTGTTACTCAGTAAAATCTATTCAGCCCTTTCTCTATTTCTTTTAATAAAACAGAGCTTTGCAGACATGCTTTTATCTTCTGTCACCCAATGAAATTCCAGAGCCTAACCTTAAAAGGAAAGTTCTCACACCCTGAAAAAGAATCTGAGAAAGAGATGAACTGTCCCTTCTCCCTGGCAGCCTTGTAGGGATGATCCCATTCTGCATCCAGAAACTATTCAGTCTGATTTCATAAGGCACTAAACTGAGAACCTTCACAATAAATTCCTTTTCCTGTGTCATAAGGACATCCATTACTTTTACTGGTTCTGGTTCCATCCTCTGTATTATTTGTAATATTTGGCCCTAATCAGTTATTTGAACAAAGAAATCATGCAAAGCACTTGACTTCAAAAATTATGCCATGTGTTGAGACATATTTAACCTCCAAAAGAAATCTGGAATTCTGGTTGACTGTGTTACTTGATAATTTGTGCTGAAAATGTAATTGACAACAGAACATTCTAAAAGGTAGAAATATGTGCATAATTTTCCTAATAGGTCAGAAGAAGATCACTTGATACCTTCCTTTTGTCCCACATGTGTGACAGAACCCATGATGTTACCAAATTTATTACTTAACAGGTCATTTGAATATCTGTTTCAACGGACTTAACACAGGGAGACAGAAATATGCAGGAATTAAAACAGAGAGCTTAGGAGCATGGGTCTCTGAGTTCCGGCTTTATCATTTACTCTGACTTCAGGTATATTCCCAAGTCTGGCTAAGCCTGTTTCTTCATCTGCTAAATGGTAGAAGAATAGCTGGGAGGATTAACATCTCTATAAAGCAACGAAACTACACATAGTAAGTGCTCAATAATGCAAACTGTTGTATCACTAAATAACACCCGAGCCTCCACTTCTTTCCCAACCTTGCGGAGAGTCAGCCTAAGAGGAGAGGGCAGGGAAGCACAAGCCTTTTAGGCAATACCTTGACAAGAGGACAAGGATCTTTTAGAAGGAAAAAAAAAAACATGTCGGTTGACATGTTAATCAGCCATTTCAGTGGCTCTACAACCTACCCTTTCATCCATGAAGCCCTTGGTCAGCAGGCGGAGAATTTGGAAGAGCAGGTCATCATCAACAAGGCAGTGATAGCGCCCCCCAGTGAGGGAGGCCAGATTTCTCAGGAAGTTAGCTTCCACCCTGCAGCGGGGGACAGAGAGGGCTGGGGCCAGGATGACTGACCCACCTGGCCAGTTCCCTGGGATCCCAGCCTATGGGGACCTCCTGAGGAAGTCTGTGGGGCAATGAGCCTTAGACTCTGGGGCTCTGTGCCATTGAGGCCCTGTCAGCATCACTAAGCCCACTCTCCCAGCCAGACTATGGGTAGTGGCAACTGCTGCCACTTCATGAGGTGGATTTGCCTTGCTGGTATTACCACTTAGACTGGACTCCTCAAAGCACATGGCCAGCATACTCCAGCCCTTTCCCTAATTAGAACTCCATCCAGTGCTTACTATGTGTTAGGCCTACTAGTGACATATTGTGACCTTTATGGGTGACCTTCATGATTTAGACACAGAAATAAAATATGCACCTAAGTAATCACTTATTAGATAATCACATTATTTGCCAATAACTGTATTATTTGCCAATAATGTTAACTGTTTTCTGAAGCACTTAAATCTTCCTTGCTTTACATATGTTCTTCTTAGGTGATCGTTTGTAAAAATAACCATAACAAGGCTTTAAACCTCTTCCCCTAAATATTCATAACTGTACTCCCAGAAAAGATGGAGGGAAAGCACAACACGTGACTGTGGGAATAGGTTCAAATCTGTTTCCATGCTGCAGAGTCAGGAGAATAGGCCCTACTGCTGGGTAAGTTAATAGTACAGAGAGGGGCCCTGGCTGGTGTGGCTCAGTGGATTGAGGGCTGGACTGTGAAGCAAAGGGTCACTGGTTCGACTCCCTGTCAGGGTACATGCCTGGGTTGCGGGCCAGGTCCCCAGTTGGGGGCACACAAGAGGCAACCACACACTGATGTTTCTGTCCCTTTCTTTCTCCCTTTCCCCCTCTCTAAAAACAAAAAAAAAATCTTAAAACTTAAAAATACAGAGAGGGGCTTTCATGCTGTGTTCCTTTAGGCCCTCCCAATTCCTGACTCACAGGACTGGTCCTTCCTGGGACCAGTGTCTGATGGGAGTCCCTGGGTTAGGTAAGCTGCTTAGCCCGACTTCCTGTGGCTCACCTGCCCATGCAGCTCAGGGAAATGGTGTGTATTTTCACATTGCGCTCCTCCTTGAGTCTTTGCACTTCACTGAGAATAAAGCTGCAGCTTGTGTCTGGCTTTCCATCAGTCAGGAGATATAATCCTTCCACATCACGGAAACTGAAAGCTTTCTGAAAAAGCATGCAGTTTGTCTGGTTCAGGGGTGGGTGCTCATCAGGAAGAGAAAAACCAATGCCCTGATGTTCCCAAGGACAACATGTCTGACTGGATCCCAATGACTTGTCCATTAAGACTGAGAGGCTCTCCCTTTCAGCCCACCACTGACAAGAAAGCCACTGACATTTAGGAGAAAGATCATGGTTCACTTCTAGGCTGGGTGACCCCACACAAGTCACTTAACCTCTGTGAGAACAATGAGCATCTCTTTCTCATGGGTTGTTGAGAAGATGAAGTGATTTAACACTGAGTACATTCTAAAGCATTATACAATACCCATATATGAGATGATGCTATTTCTTTTTTGCTACAAGGTCAGGCTCAGGGCTGGAACTTGCCAGTAATGCTTGTAAGACTGAGGTGCTTCCCTGAGCACGGAGGTGGGTCACCCACTGCATGGCCTGGTGACATGCTGTGTCTGAGGTCTCCACCAGAGTGTCCTGCCACAGTTGTGGGTCCTCAGAAAAGCTGATCAGGTTAAAACTGAGGGTATGAGGGTAGAGAGCGGGGAAGAGATTGGTTAGAACATGTCAGTCTATGTTGAATTCTGGCAAAGTAATCTCTGTGAGGACCATTCATGACTTTTAGTGAAGACCCTCACAAGGAGCCCCAGGCACCCTCAGGGAGAGGGTTGTGGACTACCTGAGAATAAGTAGGTACACAGTCAAGATTCTGGGTGCAGACAGAAATAATAAATACCCCTCATCTACTTGTAGGTTATGTGATCTCAGACAAATTATTTAACCTAAGACCTAGTTTCTTTTTCTGAAAAATAGGGATGATAATAACCCCTGGGGTCTTTGTGAGAACTGAGCAAAACCATGCATGTAGGTACTTAATAAATGTTTGCTCTTTTCAATGTTAAGACAGGAATGAGTCCTGGCCTAGGACCAGTCTCCTGCTATCTCCTTAGGGTCAAACCTTCTGAGTAGAGAGAACAAACAACCCACTGCCTCCACTCCTTAAAAATCAAGTACTGCTGAATTCACAATTCAAGGTGGTTCATTTCCTCTGTAATTGACCTTGGGCCTGAGTAGGATTTCTAAAATCCACTTTACTTCTACAGGAGAATTCAGTGTTCTTTTGTGCTCAAATAAGCTGTTTATTAGAACATTTCAGAAATGTCCTGGCACTATGCAACAGTGAGGAGGGAGTGTCTTTGGCCAGAGAAACCCCAGGAACTACTCCTTTGATCTTCTTCCACTCCTACACCGCTGCCTCTTACCTGTCACAGTGCTTCCTCAGCTGCTCCCAAATCAGTAGAATCAGCTCTGTCTTCACCTTTTGCAGGTAGGGGCCCATAGACCCTGAGGTGTCCAGCAGGATGCACACTCTTTTCTCCAAAATGGTGCCAAACAGTCGGCGGCTCCCTGCTCAAGGTGGGTGGGGCCAAAGGCAGGGAAGGAGTGAGGGGTTCCCCCTCCTGGCTGCTTCTCTTCACTGTTGCTGTTAAATACATGGTCTTGCAACACCAGTTGCCCCATTGACCATTGATCAGCTGTCAACCCACAGGGATATGGCCTTTGTAGTGTTGTTAGAGGGGTCTATTGTCTTAGGGTAGATCTGTTTGTGGGTCTGGGCTTTGAGAGATGAAGATTTCAGCTGTGGTTTTGCCTGTGACTATTTGTACAAGTAGTTGTAACTGCTCTGGGCTTCAGCTTCCTCATTCCTCAAGTTAAGTAATTGAACTAAATAATATCTCAGTATTTTGGGGGGCTGGAAAGATAGAGCACAAATTGTCGACTGACCAAGAGAAATCAACTGAGCATTTGCTAAGTGCCTGGTACTGTGTGAAGTGCATTGGTGAGTGACAGAACTTGCAATTGGGCAAGGAAGACAGATGTTAGAGCTATGCCGTGGACTCTGACAGCATTAATGAGGCACATAATGGGGAGAATCTGAGTTTAAGAGTTGTGGATGGGAAGCAGATAAGCAACGATTGCAGGATGCACAGCTGTTAGCTGAGGGAAGAGTTAGGGTGTGGAGAGAACATCCTGTGAAAGGCTGGTGGAAGGACAGAAGAACATGGCCTGTTTGACAGACAGAGAGAAGGTCAGTGTGAGGAGTAACAAAGGCTGAGAAGAGAGACCCACAGGGAAGGGGCAAGAGAGACAGCTAGAAAGGTTGTTAATAGATTAGGGATTTATCTCAATAGGAAACAGAGAGGGCCAGTGACTTGCCCAGGGTCACCCAGACTGGCAGTGACAGCTGAGATTCATACCCAGATCCTTTGGTCTATACTTTAAAGCAACTGCCAATCACTGCCCTTCTAGAGGCTTTGACAAGTGGCAGTCATCACTTTGACCCACTGCCCATGGACTGTGACTACCAGAGGATTGGGCCAGATGAATTTACATAGGACCCTAAGTGGCCCACACAGGACTCTCTATAATAAAGGCTCCTGCTCTACTTTCTCTTATTGTCCCAAGTCCCCACCTGGCCCCAGAGCCTAAACTCCCTCCCATTTAGTTCTAGCTGTTTGCCTGGCCTCTTGGGCTTGATGCTGAGCCCACCTCCTACTCTCCAGCACACCTTCCTCTGGGATGTGAGCTGGGCTCTCCTCAGCCAGCCTATTCATTCACCTCTCCCAGAGGGGCCTCGATGCTCATTGTAAAGAATAATGGGGGACTTCTCTCTGTCAAGACACCCTCATTTCTACCTTCATGGGCAGTTCTAGGGGATCTAATCAAGACTAAATTGAGCCTCTCTAGGGTTAGCCCCTCAGTCACACCCAGAGAGCCAAGGTGTGGAAGATGGCCCTGCAGAACACACCTGGATGACCTGGGTCCCCTCTGGTGCCTTTTGGCCCATGCTCTATCTCCCTGTCATCCAGCACCTTGCCTGACCTCCAAACCCAGAAGTCATGCTGTATCTGGATGACCCTCCTGACCAAATCCCAGACCTGACAGTTTGTGAGTGCCTGGCCTGGGAAGGACTGACCCTGGTGTTCGAGGTTGACCTTCCTCTTCCCCTGAGGCCCCTCCATCCTCCAAGAAAGCAAGCAGGCTCACCAGACAGCAGCCACTGCAGCCTCTGGACATAGCGTCTCATCACCTTCTTTAGGCATGTGATGTACACTTCAATTTCCCTAGGTGTCCACTGAATGTGTCTCACCATCCCCTGGATTAATGCAAGCAAGGCAAATTTACCCTATCACTATTTCTTCATGTCCCCATCACTCCCTACAAGGGTTTAGTCCATTGTGGCTCATAATTTCCCAAGCATTGTTTAACATACATTTTTGCTTGTTTGTTTTAAAGCTTTTCTTTTATTATATTACTAGGTGTATGGTTCTAGGATGGAATGAGGAATTGGGATGATGGTTTTGTGGCAAATGTGGCCACAGTATTAATGAAAAATAAAGTATCTCTAATTTTAAAACAGAAAAGCCCTTATGGTAGGATGGGAGTCCATACATTTCAGACCAAAGGGTGACCTTGGATAGAGACAGGGACAGCATGATTGAACTCTCTTCAAATTTTTCTGGTAGATAATTTTGAATTTGGTGGATATTTTTTAGCTTTATAGTTTTCCCTCATCTTGGTAATATTGCATTAAAGGGCAAGGAGAGAAATGGAGTCTTTACAAAAAGCATGGCTAGATTTTCATTTTGTGCTAAATATACCTGGTCCAGTGTCAAAGCAATAAGAAAACAGGAGTCCAAAAGTAGGAAATAGAGACGAGAACCCTCTCACCTCCTGTGATAAGCCCTGTTCTCGCCATCCTACCAAGACCATCATCAGTATTGGGGGACAGAGTCCTTGTCAGTGAGTATGTCAGCTGCTGCCCTGTGTTCTCAGCCACTGTCTTTGACCCTCACTCCAGTGAGCCCATTTAACCTGAGTATGGCCCCAGGCTCCCTGAGGGGCTCCTTTTTATCCAGCAGGATTCTGCATAACCTGTTCCCCAAGAGCAACCCCATTCTGGGGGGAGGGGTTTTGCAGGAAGAACAGAAGCCACTGTGTGTATATTCACAGGAAGTTCTCCCCAACACACACTGCCACTCGTGGCTGAGAAGGAGTGAGAGCTGGGAGAGAATAACACCAACAACAAAATCCCAACTTACATTGACTTCTATGCTGGGGAAGATGCTGCAGTATTTGACTGCTGCCAGCCTCTGTACTGACTTTTGATGAGCGCATTTGGGACCGATGAGGCTGGAGATCCCCATCTTCAGTTTTTTTAGTCCGTAATTTGCTACCCACTTTAGAATAAAGAAAAGAACTATTATCTTGGGTAATTCAGGCTGAATTATTGTCTGACCCATCTGTTAAAACCTCTTTGAAAACTGTCTCGTGTTTGAAATGTGGGGTTTTTTGGTCTTCACTGAGAGCATCCATTGTATGTAGATTCCATCCCCAGAGCTGGGGAGAGCTGCATGAGAAATAGGGGCAACAGGGAACAAAATTTACTGAGTATCTGCTACTCCCTAGTCTGGTAGACATTGTTCTTCCCTAACATCATTTCAACCTCCCCCAGCAAAATTTGGGTGGAATCCCTCACTGGTCTAAATCTCACACTGTAATCCAGTGAGGATGATTTCAGTCTGTTTGTCACAAGAGTTACAAGAATGAGTAGGCTCCACGCAGTCAGAGCACAGCTTCCATGATTGACCAGTCAGAACCAAGCTCAGACTTCATTGAATGACTGAAGGAAGAAAGGTGTTCTATCTTTTGGATGAACACGAAGGAGCACTTCCATTGCTTGCAACAGAAACGATCTAACACCACTAAGAACTTTACACAAACCCCTGGCTGGTGTGGCTCAGTGGGTTGAGCACTGGCCTAAGAACCAAAGCGTCGTCGGTTTGATTCATGGTCAGAGCACATGCCTCGGTTGTGGGCCAGGTCCCTAGTTGGGGGCACGTGAGAGGCAGCCAATTGATGTTTCTCTCACACATTGATGTTTCTCTCCCTTTCTCTCTCTCTCCCAAAATAAATAAATAAAATTTAAAGAAGAACTTTACATAAAATATACTTCAATTAGTCATCAATCTTAAATGATAGGTACAATTGTCTTCATTTTACAAATGAGGACATTGAGCCCCAGCCAGTGTGGCTCAGTTGGTTGGATGCATAGTGCAGACCAAGGGGTTGCTGGTTTGATTCACTGTCAGGGCACAGGCCTGGGTTGCAGGTTTGGTCCTTGGTTGGGGCACGTAGCGAGGGCATCCCATCACTGTTTCTCTCTTACAATGATGCTTCTCTCCCTCCCTTTCTCCCTCTCTTTCCCCCTTTCTAAAATAAAAAATAAAAATAAAATAAAATGAAGACATTGAGATTGAATGTAGCTAAGGGACTTGCCCAAGGTCACCCAGATAGGAGATGGTAGAATCAGATTTCAAACCTTGGTGTATTTAATCCTTAGCAAGTCATTCTAAGCAGGTTTCTTCTCACTTCCACTTATGCCCACCCTCCTAGAAGTAATGGCTGGTAGGAGGAATTATTGCTTAGGGAGACATGTGCTGGTACAGACAACTTAATACCTCTTCACTTGAGCAGACTGTATCCTTTCTGGGCAGCTCAATCGAAGAGCTAACCCTTCTTAGGCTTCTTCCTCGGGGGTACTTCCTGTACACTGAGCCTTGGAGAAACAGAGTAAGGTTACCTTGTACGCCTTTCTTCCCTTCCCTCTGTTCCTCACACCACTCCTTTTTTATGCCAATTTCTCTATCAGTTGAGTCAGATGTAAAATCCATTAGGTGCAATTTGCTGAGAGGGCAAAAGGGAGGCTGTGAGGTGGATCAGGGCAAGCCTGTTGGGACCTCTCTTCTCAGTGAGTGGTTCCTGGGATCTCTGCCATTTCTCAGCAATGAGGCTGGCCTGGAGACTCATATCCTTGCCCTCCTCTGTCAGTCTAGGAGCTGAGGACACTGTCCCTTGTGGATGGAATGGGAGTGCTGCATTAGGGGGGCCTCTGGAGACTTTCGGCATTAATTTGTCTCATTCTCCTCCAGTGTCAAAACTGCGTGTCCATCTTCCTGGTCTTGGAGACCTGACTGGTTTGAAGATAGGCCTGGTCCAGAAGCACTGCTGCCCATGTCCTGGGACCATGGGAGTGTCTCCTCCCCATGGGGCCTGCTGAACTTATAGTTTCCACAGGACAAGAGGGCTGTCCAGACACCTGTATCCTTCAACTTACCCACGTTATTCCCAGTCTCTGTATAAAACAGTGAGAGAGACATTTCTGCTTCCCTCGCCTGGGTCTTCCTCTTCCACTCTGCAGTGTCCTCTCTGGCCAACTGAGCTGCAGCTGGAGGGCATGTGGCCTGTGGGCTAGAGTGAGTGCTTCCCATACCCCATCTCATTTCATCCTCTTTGTTCCCCAGTTTACAGGTGAGACAAGCGGGACTCCGTGTCAGTAAGACATAGAGCAAATATTCCACCCAGGTTCTATGGATTCCAGGGCTCTGTTCTGAGCCACTCTGCTGTCTTTGATGTTGAAAGTAAGGTACATGCTCTTAGATTTTAGGAGCTGAGTCTTTTCATGAAAATGCCCATGCTTGTCACAACCAGCTGGCACTGGTCATTATTCTTATCCCCTCTGAGCCTGAATTTCTTCATCAGTAAAATGGGGAGCTAATAGATTACCTGTCACATAGAATTGATTGTTACAAGTGTTAAATGGGAGTCTTAGTGGAAGGGCTGGCACATGATCAAAACTCATCATCATTGGTTATTTTGGTTACTATCATTATTAATGAGTCTCAGCCATGCCCATGTGCCCACCCCAAAGCCAGCCTCACCTGGTGGGGTGCTCACTTTGCCACTGAGTGGCCGCCATACCAGAGCTTTCAATATGGGACTTCTCTCTCCATCAGGGTCATCTCTAGTGCTCTAGAAAACAGGCAGTCTTTCCCATCAGTGGCCTATTTTCTATGGCAGACATACACCACTCATCTCAGCTTCAATCTGTCGATTAAGAACCTTTGCAGGAAGCCCTGGCTGGTGTAGCTCAGTGCATTGAGTGCGGGCTGTGAACCAAAGCATCGCAGGTTCGATTCCCAGTCAGGGCACGTGCCTGGGTTCCAGGCCACAGCCCCCAGCAACCACACATTGCTGTTTCTCTCTGTCTCTTTTTCTCCCTCCCTTCCCTCTCTAAAAATAAATAAATAAAATCTAAAAAAAAAAGAACCTTTGCAGGGAGGGGCCGAAAGGACTAGGTTCCTCAGACATTTTTGCCTTATCTCCTGCTACAGATTCAGAGGAGACTCTGGCTTTTTGTAGTATAGTGTACTTGATTCCTTTTTATAGTTTTTTTTTTAATTTCTTTCCATTACCATAATCCCTTTATACTCTTTTTCACCTACCCCTACCCCCTCCCCACCAAGACTCTGGCTTTTGAGGTAAAAAAATAAAAAAAAAAAGGTGTGTGTATTTCCCAGAATTTTCTTCACCAATTACCCACTCCTCTTCCAACTGGACTAGGACTTGTGGGCCTCCAGCATGATAGGAAGCCATTAAGGTAACTGTGCCCTATTGGGTACCTCAGTTTTAAGGGAGGGGACCCTTGATCACTGGGCACAGCTGGAATGTGGTGATAGTTAAACAAAATTACCCAGGGCCCTGGACCAGCTGAGGCCTCTGGGTGAGCTGCTGTGAAAAAAGCTTGGAGATTCCACTCCAGGGGCCCCCTGCCCTGGTTTCAGGACACCCAATAAAGTCCTCAGTGAGGCTTAAGCCCCTCACACTGAGTCAGCTCAGGCAGTACTGTAGGCCCAAGAGACAGACCCTAGAATTATGGGGTTTCACCTCAAAATTTGGGGAGGCTCCTGAAACCTGGTGGGGTACCTTGAAGGAAGACAGTGCCTGTGTGAACAGCATCTTCCAGAAACACAACTGCCCTGGGACAGCAGTAAGCCACACACTCTCTGGGATGGATGTCCTCACTCTGAAACATGCTGGTTCATGAGGTCTGCCAGTTAGTAAAATGCTAAGGAGCTGATGTATTTCTTTGCTCCTTCTGTTTACAAGTACCATAGAGTCTGGAATCTCCCCCAGTCATAGCTCTATAGGCCCTTCTGGTTGCTGAGGTGGTTATTTTATGCTGGACCTATCTGACAAGCTGTGGCTAGATATAAATATCCCAGGGCCACCCTCAGGCTCCTTTCAGGCCCTGGCTAAGCCTAGGGCAGCTGCAGCCAGAGCCTGTTAGATGCCCTAACATCATCATTTCTTTGCCCCTGAGAGACCCTCCAGGGTAAGCCTTCCTGCCTTATAGTCATGGTGGGTTTCAGTTCCATGGGGTCCTTAGGACCCAGATAGGGGTCAAACCGGGATATCCAGGCAGAGTCAAAGGCAGTGGTGGGTGAGGGCATGGAGGCAGAAGTGATCCCAGAGCTGAGAAGAAGATCCCCCAGTGAAGTTCCTTCCTCTAGAGGTCAAGGCTGGAGGCAGCCACAGGACACTCACCACTGAGGACACTGCCCTGATCCCCCTGGCCCTGGGGTCAGGGTTTCTGGTCCAGACCACTTCAAGATCTAGGCAAGACCAGGAGACAAGGTAGAAACAAAATCCTGTGTGTTATTAGGGAAGGGGAGTCAAACCATTCTGACCGCCGAGGGGGCTGTGGTCTTTCAGAGTTTCTTGGGCTGACTTCTTTGCTTGAGCATCTTTGGCTTTTCTTTTGGGAGGGATGCACTTTCGAGGTCTTTCCTGGACTGGTTCTTCAGGGAGGACACTAGTAAGGCACACTGAAACAAGGACTGGGAGGGTTAGCTACACCCCAGCCACAGTGCACAGTCTTGAAGCAAAGCACACACACACACATTCACACTCGAGAGAAACTGTGTCTGCTAGGATCGTTGGACTCCTCTTTCTGTCCATGGAATGTCTCCTGGGGCAGAGAGCCTTGTGCATCAATCCTATCAGTAATAAGTACCTCGTATGCAGGTCCTGAGATGCACCAGTCACTGGGCCCATTAAAGGCTGAGCAACTCAAACCCAGGTAGGCAAGTGCTATCTCATCTCCATTTCACAGATGAGAAAAGCCAAGCTCCATGAGTGTAAGGGACTTGCCCAGGGCCACAAGACTAGTATATAGAGGGCCTTCAATCCAAACCCAGGTGGGTATGGTTCCAAAGCCAGTGCTCTTTCCACATGTGACCCAGCATCCACTGTTGGTCAGCCTACCATGTGCCTGGAGCTAACTCTGGGTGTTGGCAGAATAGTGTGTGATACTAGGTTCCTTTGCCCACACATTTCTCAACTGCTGAAAGTTTCTCTAGTAATTATTCTCAACCAAAGCACTAGAAGACATTAGAATGTAAATAACATCCTAGCGAAGGATAGATTAAACTATTATTGCCCAAATACCTTGTGAATGAGTTTATCAGATGAGGGAAGTGGACTGACGTACATCTGAAGAGAAGGGGTTAAAAAAACAGCAACAAAGAGGGGCCCTTTCAGGGAAGACAGTTAAGGCACATTTAGGGGAGCAGATAAAATGGACAGGGAGGAAAAAAATGTGAAGAGGTGGCCCTGCCTTTCCAGGAGCTCACAATATGTTGTTCTGCAAATGGCAGTCATTAAAGTGAAAGTCAGGCTGAGTCTCCTCCTCAGGCTCCTCTACCTCCCTACTTTGGCCATGGCCACCAACCTGCTCTCTGTCTACCCCCATGGTTTGAACTGCCCCAGCCCTGGTCTCTTCTCACCTGTCTGAAGGGTACCCCCACTTGTTGCCTCGCAAACTCACCTTTGTCCCAGGCCCACCCTCCCAGCATCTATCACAATTCCGTTCTCTCTGTCTTGGTCAATCATGTGCCCCAGTGAGGAACTTGGGAGTTACTCTGGGATTTTTTCCTCTCCCTCACCCTGTACAGTCAGTCAGCCACAAGTTTGGTCAATTTCTCCCCAAATGTTCTCATGTCCATTCCCTTATTTCTATTCTCACTGCTGCTGACAAGATCTGGCCTCTTACTACCTCTCTAATCTTATCTTCAACTGCTCAAAGGGATTCTCTGAAAAAGTTACATTTTGGTAAGTCTTGAATAACTAAGACAAATCCATGGACAATCAGGGAGGGGAATGACAGGCTAAGGACATAGCAGGTGCAAAGGTCCTAAGTTTAGGAATGAGCTCAATGTGTTCAAGGAACTCAAAAGAGGTCACAATGTATAACTCACAGACTTAAAACCAATGACTTATAGGAACTCCTCATGTTTTATCTGAAGCCTTGAGGGTCAGTGGATCAGGACATGAGGAGGGAAACTAATGTAGGATGAGTCATGTCACCAGAAAGATATGTTCAAGTCTGAACCCCTGGTACCTGTGACTGTGACCTTACTTGGAAATAGGGTCTTTGTAGATGTAAGTAAGATGTTAGTTAATGAGGTTATACTGGTGAAGAGTAGGTCTTTAATCTAATCTTACTGGTATTACTACCAGAGGAGAAGGGACACAGACACACAGAGAGGGAGGAGAGCCATGTGAAGACGGAGACAGAGATGGAGTTGTGCTGCCATAAGCTAAGGACACAACCCGCCAGTGACGAGGATGCCCCCCTTGACCAAACTTCAGTCAGGCTCCTCTGAGCCCTCTTCTCAGCTAGGCTTCAACTATGGCTGCTAAATCTAGTTTTGGCAAAGAATCTTGCTAAGTCAGTTTAGAGAACCCCCACCCTTGATATTTGATCAAGTTCTTCATCCCCTATAGTGGTATCTAAGTCCTTGACCTGCCTTCAGCAAGAATCCTGCTAAGTCCATTTAGCAAGAATCCCCCTATCCTTGAAAGCTAACTAAGTTTCTCTTAATAATTTCCCATCCATGATTTGTCACTCTGCTTATTGGCTATAAATATCCAGCTGTCTTTGCTGTGTTTGGAGTTGAGTCAATCTCTCTCTCTTATTGCAATAATCTTGCATAAAGTCTTCCTTGCCATTTTTTAACAAGCATCTAGTGCAGTATTTTTTCTTTAGTATCAGCTGCCATGGAGGGATTGTATCCAGAGTTTTCAGAGGGAGCATGGCCCTTCTGACACTGTGATTTCAGACTTTTATCCTCTGAAATTGTGAGAGAACACATGTCTGCTGTTTTAACCCTACTAGTTCAAGGTACTTTGTATGGCAGTCCCAGAAATAATACAGAAGCCAGCCCAGTCATTTGCCCTGCCCCTAAAGCATACCTTTTGAGAATAGTTGAGGGCTTTTTCCAGCTCAGACATGATGGTGTTGATGTCATCACTTTCGTAAATGCCTGGAAACCAAGCACATTGTGAGTGTGGGAAGGGATGTAGATACCGCAAGCATCTGTATCTGTACACAGAAGGGTTGTGTGGAGGTGACCTGAGCTGGAGAGGCAAGGTGGGATCTTAACAGGCTGAGCTTACCAGCCCCCACCCCAGCACAATCCAGAGGTGGTCACAGTGAGGTTACCAACAGTGAAGCTGGCCTTGGGACACAGCACCCTGGCACCCAGTCAAGAGCTTGCCCCACAGGAGCAGCAGGTTGGGAGCAAAGGTCCTGCTATTCCAGTGAATAAAATCACCTGCTATTCCAGTGAATAAAATCACCCACTTTGGGATTATATAAAGTGGGTAATGTCCGTAGTGAATATTGATGATAAGGCCAACAGGAACTAAAGAATAATGACTAAGAAGACAGACTCTGAAGTTGATTTGTCTAGGTTCAACTCCTGGCTCTACCACTTACTACCTGTGTCCTACTTTTAGACCATGTGGAGTAGGGTGGAGAAGAAAGCTCCTTGGCATCTGCTGTCTTTCATATGTCTTCAGCTCACAATAATTGTTATGCCCAAGTGGCATATTTTGATCCCCTACAACTAACACAAAATTTTTTTGCTCTGTGCTCCATGTACAACTGTGTCACCCACCTGTTATGAACATTCCCCCACTGGGCAACACTAAGCTAAGGAAGCTTTAGGGCCCCTTCCAGCTCTGACATTCTAAAGTATTTTAAAAATAGTTTTCCTTTTCTTTTTTTACTTAAAAATTGTGGTAAAATATGCAGAACATAAAATTTACCAGTTTAACCATTTTTTAAGTGCACAGTCAGTGGCATTAGGTACTTTCACATTTTTGTGCAGCCATCACTACCATCCATATGTGAGTGTGCACTGACTATGTGAACAGCAGTTTTCCATTTTGAATGTGATTTTCACATGCTGCTTTTCTGGAATACATCTATGGCACAGGGAGTGATGTTGGTAGTGAGATACCAGAAAGAAAAGAAGTGGAAGAGCGAGCCAACATTTATACACCTGTGTCTCCAAACCAGTGGAAGCGGCCACCAGCAGCCTGGGTGAGCTCTCGGTAGGCAGTGGCTGTGTCGGTGCGGCTGGCATAGCAGGCAGGGGGAGTGATGTCCATCTGTGGCTCACCCACATAGAAGAGACACACATTCAGCTGGAGGTCGCAGCCCCCACAGGCCTCGGTCATGTAGGCACTGAGCATGGACTGTAGGGGAGAGAGGGCAGAGGGCTCTTGCAGGTGCTGGCTCAGCCTGATCATCTTTCTTGAGGGCTTACTGTGTGCCAGGTCTAGTACTTGGCACCGAGAATAAAAAGACAAGTGAGCTGGGTCATAATTTCTTTATCTTTCTAGGGTAAAGCTAGGAAGCTGGAACAGAGAGCCTAGCAATACCAAGTGTTGCAACCTGGTTACAACCTGGGAACTTGTTAGAAATGCAGACACTCAGGCCCTAGGCCAGACCTTTGGAACCAGGATCTGTATTTGAACAACATCCCCACATGATTCCCCTGCACACTAAAGTCAAGGAAACATTTGCTAGGCTTCCACATAGGGGAAGTTGTGGAGTTGTGAAGAATGGGGACACCCAAGACAGGAAGTACCCACCATGTCCTGATCCGGAATGCCCCCTGTGAAAAGGTAGATGCCCTGAGATTGCTGTTTGTCTCTGTCCTTGAAATCCACTTCCACAGCCTTCCGCAAGGCGCTGAGGATGTTCCTGCTGCCCTGACACTTCAGGGTCAGGGCCCACCTAGAGGCAGGAAAGGCCATGCTGAAGGAGGTCAGGGGTGAGACCAGGAGCAGAAGGCAGACATTTTCAGATTCATGCCCATGTCTGTCAGAGGGAAGGTATTCTATTCCCAGTGGAGAGGGGGACAGAAAATAGCACCACCCAGGCTGCCCTCAGACATAGTAGGTGCAGCCTCTGCCCATCACCTACTGCCAAGCACTTTGTAAATTGTCGTGGCTCATGGAAACCATCTTGGGCCTCCAGCTTTCGATTGAGCTTCCAAACCTTGGGGGAAGGAAAGAAGGCTTGTTCTTAGGGAGAAGACTGCTCCACTGTGTGCCCCAACTCTCTGGGCTCCCCAGGGTCTAAAGAGGTCAAAATCCTAATTATACCCCCCAAACGTTAAGGTGTCACTGGCCTGGGCCAGCCAAGAGATTGCCTTGCTGGTCATGACCTGTTCCAGTACATTCACAGCAAGGCAGAGCTGAGGCTCTCAGTGAAGACACAGAGACAGGACCAGCTCTGGCCATCTGGACAGACTTCCTTCCTGATGTGTTTTGGTAACTCGTGTTGTCAGTGTGAATTTCCTCATCCCCTAAGAAGGGAGTCCTTCCTCCCTTTTTAATCTCCCCTAGGACACTGATTCATGCTTACAACACATTTTCACTCTCTATCTGTACTATAGTTTTTTTTTTAATTGTATCACTTCATGTTTCCTATGAGACACATTTAAATCCTTGAGAAGAAAATGTATCCCGTTCATTGAAGAAAAAGCAACTCCTTTCTGGTTCAAGATTGATCCCTCCTCCTGGACTCTTGACTCATCATGGCCAATCTCTTCAGAGACCTTGCACATGCCTGTCTCAACATGCCTGGCTCCCACTACAAGGCCTCATGTTCTTTGAGGACAAGTTTTGTGTTTTAACTTCCACATGCCTAATGCCCACCACAGTGACTGGTGCATGGCAGGCTTTCCAGAAAGCTGTTCAACAAATGAATGAATACATGAATAAATGAATGAAAACATTGTCTAACATGTTTGCACAAGCACTTTTTCTATAGAATTTATTAGGAAAAGATTAGGCCCTGGTGCAGAATAATATACAACATTACCTGCTGACTTAATAGGTTTAGAACACTCCCTATTAGGTGTGAAGTTGTATAAAAATGTATAGGTCAAGTGGGTTCCTTTTCTCTTTCTCCCCTAGTGGCATGCAATTAAAAATATGTATAAAATGATGTATATATTGAAATGATATATAACGGTAGATATTTAAACTATATGTAAATTATATAATTTTAATGTTGATATATGATAGTTACATGTAATTTAAATATATAGTTATATATAATTAAAATAGTTAAATATATATAAAATATTTAAAATTTAATTTATATTTTAAATTCAGATATAAAATCATTATGTGTAAAATATATAATTTATACATTACATTTATATAATTTAATTTGTATAATTTAATTATATAGAGCTACATATAAAATTAAAATTTAGAATTGAAACTCTAAATGAAATATTGTACCTTATTAGATCCACACTGGGAACTAAGACCGGAATATGCCTGGGGGCCCTTCTTTTTCTTTCTTGTGTTTATCAGCTTGGAGGCCAAATGGGGCAATGGGCGGAGTTACTTTATCCTTGTTGATCAAGCAGTGTGTTTTGGGGCTGCTTTTTACCTTCACCCTAGTGAGACTGTTCTGCAACCATTTAATTATTCAATGCCCCAATCAAGATCACTTGAATCAGATAAACTGATGGCTGTCACAGGAGGGTGGGTGCTCAGAACCTGTCGTTCACTCCCTTCCAGGAGCCTCAGCCCAGTGGTGAAAACATGCACACCAACCTCCCCCACCAGGAACTGGGAGCTTACGCAATGACATTGAAAGCGTCCTTGTTGGACAGTTGCTCCTCCAGCAGAAGTCGCAGGGAATGCTGGATATGAATAATGTACATGGAATTGGTCGCAGAGATATCGAGCAGTATAACCACCCTAAACAGAAACACAAGCTTTAAGAGGAGAACCGAATCTCTCAGATAGTGTTCATTTTGTTCCGTTTTACTATTTAAAGTGTTTTCCAGGGCACTTTAAGTGCCAGATTCACAGCTGGCCAAAATCTTCTTTGAGGTCAACAGATGTGGGTTTACAACAGTAAACTTCAGGGGTCACAGAAACTTCTCTCTCTGGAGGTCCTATCATGGAATCAAGTCTCACAGTAGAGAAGGTTTAAGGAGCAGAGGCTGCATATAAAGATTTGTATACATTTCCTTGTTTAAAGTGCTAGTGAGGCAGGAGGTAGTCAGGAAGGAAGCTCCCGAGGCCCCGCAGGGCTGAGGTAGAAAACACCTATACATGACAAAGACCCCCTAAGACGGGTTGTTCCTGTTTTCTGGGACAACTCTGAATCATAGAATGCGCCTGCGCGCTACCCCTGATTCATTATAATATCATTATAATGAAATAACATTGTGGGACTCCCTTCTCCAGTAGCCAATCAAGAAAGTCATGGGAAACCACGCATGCGCAGTAGCTTTGAAATCCAACTCCTTGTACCTGCGCAGGAAAAGCCCACCAAAGACTAGCAGGGGGGCTTCTGCCCCTATAAGAATAGAATCCCCCAGCCCACGTGCCCTTTTTTTCCCTCTGCTCAGAGCTGGCTCACTCCCGTGTCCTGTGGTATGTACTATCACTTAATAAACCTCCCCTCTTTCTTTATGCTATAAACTTTGTGTGTTCGGTTCAATTCTTTGTCCTCGATCACTAAGAACCTGGTTACCTGTGCACACCTGTGCACACCTGTGACACTAGGATTCAATATTATGATAAGTTGGGGTCTTTGAAGGAAAAACAGAAACAAGGTAAACAAGTTAGATGTAGATCTGTGTGTATCTGAGCCTCTGGGGAAATGTTTGTATTTCTTGTTTCCTTTTTCTGCTTTAAGATCCCCAGCCCCATTCAGCCTTCTCTTTTTATTATTTCAAATCTTATAGTCTCATCTCTTCCCTCTGTTCTCATTTTGAGACTCCTATGAATAGCAAAAGAAAATCCACTGGATTTAGAATCAGAAGACCTTGGTTTGAGTCCTACTTGCTGTGTGGCCTTAGGCAAGTCACAAAACCTCTCTGATCCTTGGTATATTTACCATAAAGTACTTATAATACGACTCCTCATAGGGTTGTGTTAAGAATCAAAGGATATAATAGATGTATAGCATTATAAAGGATACTATTTTGTAAGAGTAACACATCAAAAAAGGTATGGAATGATAATAAAGGTCATAATGGACACCCATTGTTTCTCCCTACTCAGTGTCCATTACCTCTTTTGGCAATAGCTTCCTGATTTTCATTTGGAAAACACCTCTGCCTCTGTCAGTCCATTTGTTGTGGGTAGAGCTGACCCTAGCCTAAACTCTGAGAGTGGGCATTTGACCCTCAGCAATGTTCCATCATGCTACCCTAGCCAGGATGAAGAGCTCATGGATGGGCCCATGCCCCAAGCTCCAGGAGTGCTAAAACTGGTAGGAAGTAAGTTGGGAGCTTAAGATGGCTACCTTGCCACCTGAAGGGGAAGTCTGCTGGAAAACAAAGCGATAAGAGAAGAAAACAGAGCTGAGAAATGGAGATAGATTCCTGACATGTATGAACCTCTGGATCAAGCCATGCCTGAAGACAGCTATCAAATCTATTATGGAATTTTCAGTTACCTTAACCAGACTTCACTGTTTTGTTTCAGCCAATTTTCACTTAGTTTCTGTTGCTTCTTAACTAAAAGAATCCTGAATAACACAATGAATGATGTTATTGATGTTGATGATGATGGTGGTGACTTTTCCCCCAGGAGTTCTGTTGAGTGATTTGCTGATTCTTAGTGTAAGTAAACAATGGCTTTTGGTGTTACGAATAGGGAATCCATGAGTTGGATAAGTGCTATGTTACACACAATATCCATGAAGAATACTACTTAGGGGAAGTTACCTTTTTTCACAGACGGTGCCCCAGATTCTTCTGCTGGCCAATGAGAGCCATTCGATCCGCCTCTCGTACATCCGAATAACTCTGCTGAGCTGTTTCTGTAAACCCATGGGCCAGAGTGAGCAATTGCACAAAGGGTGGCTGATTAAAGGGTCTGTGAGGACAGGGGTATATCCCAGTTAGCTTTTGGGAATAGTGTGTCAAGGCCATGGGTATCCAGGGAGTATGAACATTCCACTAAATCATGGACAAGTCTGCTGCAAGACCATGAAGAGTCAAAGTATTTTATTACTCCTCATGGGGGAGGAGGTAGATCTTGTCCCAAAGAATTAGAGCCTTTTTTTTTTTTTTGGCTTTTGTTAGATGCATCCAGATCTCTGCCTGGGGATGGAGTGGAGAAAGCTCCAGAGGTGCCTGTTGGGGAGCACAGTCTCTGTTTACAAGAGAATTCAGTCAATGGCTTGGTGTCTCCATGTTACTTGGCACCTTCCTCCCATTCCTCTTTCTCACACCCCATATGCTGACTGATTGGACCCATCACTGACCTGGTACTCATAGAGGAAGGGCAGGTCCACATGAACATTCTTCACTGTCCCATCATGCCATTGAAATTGTACCATTGCCTTCTGCACTCAGGTGTGGCCAGGAGGTGGTGCACACAGTGAGGAAGAATTTTAAGTTTAATTTGGGTACTGGGACTCTGACCACATGTGGGGTCAGATTATGCTCCCCACCCCCACCCCACAGGTCACTACTGCCTTGTCTGGAGCTGGAAAAGAGAACCATCAGGACAGTGGCCCTTGAATGAACATGCTGACAGTAGGCAGACTGCCATCTCGGGAGGCTCTTCTGAACACTGGAGTCTTGATTACAGAACATGGCTGGAAGTTTAGGTAATAACAGTGAGACACCTTTAAAACACACTGGCCATGGGTTCTTAGGTTTAGGAACTCAGGCCTTTATGGATACTTTGAAAATCAAGTTTGTTCATCTTATTCTTTCATCCTCCACCAAGCGTCATATACATATCTTGAAGTATCACTCCATCCACCTAGTCATTCATCCATCCCCTGCTTGAATTGTCCATCACTCTTCCCTTCCATTCTTCCATCTTTATATTTGTCTTTCCACTCATCTTTCCATTCATTATTCCTTCCATTTCTCCACTTTTCAATCCTTACTTTAATTTTTACTTTCATTCTTTTATCTTTTTTATTCTATCTTGTCACTCATCCTTTCATTTTGCCCCTCCATCTGTTCACATTTCCATACATACATACATACATACATACATACATATATCTGCCTATGTTTGCATGTATTCACCAACATTTTCATCCATCTAACCATTCATCCTTTGTTTTCTTCTTTCCAACCACTCAGTCATCCAGTAAACATTCATTGACTGCCTTACTTGTACTACATATTGGGGATAGAGAGTTTTTTCTTTTAAAGAGCTCACACTCTGGTAAGATTTAAATATGTAACAAATACACATATTAACACAGTGTAGGAGCTAACATAGAAGTCTGTACAAGGTAGAGTGAGGTGTTCTGAGTGGGAGAAAGGAAAACCTTTGTACTGGAGGTTAATTGTGGTACCCAATTTACTCCCTCTGGCCCATCTCCCAAGTTTTATTTTCAGATGGGTGGAAAGCCTGCCTATGATCCTCAGGCTCTGCCTTATGACTCTATTTTCTAAACTCTTAAGAAGGGAAATGTCACAAAGGAGCTCTCCTGCAGAGGATGGAGAGAACTCTGGATCTGAGTCACCTCATGGACAGTTGATGATACCATTTTCTGGAGAACAGGCACAAATTCCTCAATGGGAGAGAATGCGTTGGGTGCCAGAACCTGATAAAGGCTTAGCTTCTTCGCTGTAAAAATAAATGGTAGAGTTTAAGGTATGACTCATGAAGACCCAGAGAGTTAATGGCTTTTACTCAGTGACCTGAGTTCGGGGTTCTGCCGTCTTTGGGGACTTACCTTTTAGGCCATTGTCCTTTAGCCATTCTGCAGAAGTCTTGTCCAAGTTTGGGAACTCAATTGTGAGGGGGGCTTCATGCTTTGGGGGTTTAGGCAAGAGACTTCTGAGGGGCCCTTGTGCAATTTCTGTAGAAATCTAAATTAAAATAAAAAATCCTCATTACACAATCATAATTTAGAGTTGCAAAGTCCTCAGTCTCCCCGACCAACCCAGTTCACCCAAGAAGAGAATCTTAAAACATTACCTGGTAAATTAAAGGCAGTGTTGCCTCCTTGTCTCACCAACCCCATCCCCTTTTCTGGAATTTCCAGGGAAAGAGGGAGATGTTTCCAGAAACTCTCTTTATTTACTCATCCTCCTGGCCCCCTCCCCACCCTTAGCGTTAATATCAGCACCTTGGCCTCCTGATGACAGGTGGCCCCTCAGTGGACTCAAAACACAAGGCTTCAGGGAACTAAAAAGTAACTCTACACTAAAATCATGTAGGGAGCTTTCATCTAGCCCAGCCTCCCTTGTCCACATTTATAAACTGAAAACCTGAGGGTCTGAGAGGTTAAATCACACACAACTCATGTAGGAGTAAAACACAGAATAGCCATTCCCAAACTTTGAACACCGTTTTCATAAATTTTGCTATATCTGAATACCATTGTACTGTTATGTACTCAGTTTATTTTTAAATCAATTATATGACATTAAAGATTTTTAATATTTAATTTGATTTACTTTAAAAAATAGACTTTTTTTATTTTTAAATTTTATTTTAATTATTGTTCAAGTACAATTTTCTATGTTTTACTCCCATCCCAGCCCACCCACCCACCCCTCCCCACCTCCCTCCCATTTCCACCCACCCAAATAGACTCCTTTTTTGTATTAAATAATTTTAGAAAGATCTATTACTATCATAATGAGCTAGTTTTAAATATATAACATTAAAAAATATTAATCTATTCTGGCTGGTGTGGATCAGTGGATTGAGTGCTGGTCTGCAAGCCAGAAAGTCGCTGGTGTGATTCCCAGTTAGGACACACACCTGGGTTGTGGGCCAGGTCCCCAGTTGGGAGCATGCAAGAGGCAACTGGTTGATGTATCTCCTGCACATCAACATTACTCTCCCTCTCTTTCCCATCTTTCTAAAAATAAATAAATAAAATCTTTAAAAAGTACTAATCCATACAACCTTACAATCTTGCAAACCACATGTAGCACATGCATTTCATTAGGGGAAACTCCTAACAATGATTCGGCCATCTGACAGACCTGGATTCAATTACACTGAATTGCTTTCTATCTCAGTGATCCCAAGCACATTATTTAACCTCTTAACTTTGGTTTGCTAATCTGTAAACTGGGGGTAATAATCTACTTACAGCAGACTGCTGTTGCAAAGATAAAATAAGGCATTTAGAGAATTAAGCACTGTGCCCATTTTATGGGCAAATGAGCAAATGAGAACTTTTAATTATAATACTAACATCATCATGATTGTGTGTAATTGGTAGAAGAGCTGGAGCTAAAGTTCAAGACCCCAGTGTAGGTGCTATGTTTCTCTCACTCTGTCCAGCCAGTATAAATACACCCCAGTGCTCTTCTGTCCACAGCTAAGTTTGCCATGCCCTTCTAAATGTATAGCTTTTATGGAGCTTGTGCTGTTGTGCCCATGTTAAATCTGTCCCAGAGCAGAGACTTTGCCCCTGAATGAAGGTCTGGGGTAAAAGGCAACTTCTAGACAGCCTACACTGTGTGGTTGAAGTTTTCATTATTCTCCAAACTGGAAGAAGGGGAAGGTGGAAGGGGTGGCAGGAGCCTGCTTACCTTTCCCTGAAATACAGTTTTTAATTAGAAGATCTACCAGGACCTTTTCTGACATAGTGGAAGACTCACCTGACCCATCTGCTCAGAGCTCCAAGGCTCTGCCTTGTTTCACTTTTAGGAGATGGTGGGGCAACAGACATGTGAAGAAAGAAAATGAAGTGAGATCTGCTGAGTGCCTCAGGGAGAAGGTCCCGGAATCTTCACTGATACCTACCTCCTTCATGATGCCTGTCAGCTCCTCACTGGGGGCACTGTAGCACAGAGCTTGGATGTGGCCCAGGAGGCTCTGGGCCTTCTGGATTTCCACCAGTAGCTGGTCAATGTCTGGGCTGGTGCAGATCTAGGGGTGGTAGGAGCAAGAGGCCATCCAGAAGTCATTTAGCTACCAGTAGTAGCCAAGGTGAGAGGGCAAGGAGAGATGTCAGTTCCTAGAGCTGTGTGGCAGACTGTTTAAACCTGACATTATAAACTGGGGTCTGTGTATATGGGACAGAACTTGCAAACACACTGTGTTCCACTTGTATAGCCCTGGCCTGCAGTGTTAACCAACTGAAGGGTTGTTTAACCTTAAAAATGTGAAGAAATACTTTATACCCTTTAGTAGGCTGTGATAATAATAATTTTACAAGGACTATAACACTGCTGGTGGGAATATAAAAGGGTATAGCTTTTGTGGAAAACAGTTAAGTGGCTCCCTAAAAACTTAAACAGAATGACTCTATAACCAAGCATTGAGACTCCTAGGTATGTACCCCATAACTTGAAAGCAGGGACTCAGACCAATAGTCACAGCAGTTCACAATCACCAAAAGGTGGAAATAACCCAAATGTCCAGAGACTAATGAATGGATAAACCAAATGTTAGAATATCCAGAAAATGGAATGTTATCACCATAAAACAGAATGAACTACTAATACCTGCTACAATATAGACGAACCTTGAAAACATTATGCCAACTGAAAGAAGCCAGACACAAAAGGTATATGATTTCATTTAAATGAAATATCCAAACTAAGTAAATCCACAGAGACAGAAAGCAGATTAGTGGATGCCAGGAGCTACGGGTAGGGGCAGTGGGTTGTGATGCTTAATGATATGGGATTTCCTTTTGGAGAGATGAAAATGTTTTGAAAGTAGATAGAGGTTGTGGTTGCATGACATTGTGATAGTATAAATACCACTAATTGTACACTTTAGAATAGTTAACTTCATGTTAGATGAATTTCACCTCATTTTAAAAAACAAATGTAAATACATTACACACTTAAACTAATCCAGATTTCTGGTTCTTCTTGAAAATTTGAGAATCTGGCAACACTGGGGTCATGTTGCTACAGAGGTGACTGGCAGGGGCTGAGCAGGGGCACCTCTTCAGGTGGGGCAGGTGCTATCTAATTCACCACAGTCCTCACCGCTCTCTGTTGCCTCCCAGCAGAGACAGTTGTTACCCCTGCACTGTTGTTTTGCTCATATTAAAGAAGACAATAAAATTTGTTGTACCCGTATTTCCATCTATATTGGAAAAACAACAGATAAGACGGTCACAGATTTTAAGATAAAATGTTTCTTAAAACAGCCAGTTTTATTTATTTACTGGACCTTTCTAGCCCCTGTGGTCTGTGACCCCTACAAACAGAATCTGGGCAGTGAGGTAACAAGAGGGGGTGCTGCTGAGAAAGGCATGTCCTAACTCAGGCTCCTGTGAAATGCTACACTTTGTAACACCTGAACATACTTGTGAGATGCAGCTATTCATTTACTTACGGTTATTAACAGTCAGCATGCAAGACACAACCTGTTAGCTGAAAGGATAGTTGGATTCTCAATCTGCCAAATGGATTTACACACACATTTGCTAACTGTTCCCTCCATGGTGGACACATGGTACGTGATGTCATTATTAACTGGGAGAAGGACACTAATGGATGGATTTGTGTAGAATCTATTGCTCATTCAGAATTGACTGCTGTGGGTCCCCTGCAAGAGCAGAGGTCTACCTAGGAGAAAGAACTGAGGCAGCCAATTCAGACTCAGAGCTTTGATGGGAGCAGAGGTGGGGTGGAGCCCATGTTGATGGCAACTGGATAGATTCAGGATTCTACCCACCAGGCTTTAAAAAGCCTCTAGCCTCACAGGTGTGTAATCAGCTCATCATACATGTTGACCAAAGGATCTCTTGTGACTTCATGTCCCAGTTCTTCCCACATATTCACTTTAACCTGATTATACCTTTGTAAGCCCACTGAGCTTGGGGGAGGGAGGGGAAGCAAGCATACAGCATGGTCTGTCTTGGCCCAGATCCCTAGACACAGTGGGACAGGCAGGAAGGAGAGCAGGGGCAGCGAGCGTACCTCCGTCTCTAGGGTGTAGCAGTGATAGTGGCCCCCAACAGCTTCCGCAAAGTTCTTCAGGACAGCCTGTGGGATGGCAGCAGGGTCACCTCTCACTAGGGTGATGCCAGTGCTGCAAAACACTTTCTCCTTGACCAAACCTCCCAACTCTCCAGACTTCCCATCTTACCAAATGGAGAACTGGGTACAAGAGAGTTGTGCTCTGGTCCACAGCTTGGGGCCTGTCCACATACAGATCCTCACAGGCTGGCACTGCTCACTATGACCAATCCAAGAGAACACTTGGAAAGTCTCAGGTACTTACAGGGGGCACCTGATCGTCGCATTTGTAGGTGATGATGTGGGTGTGGAGGTCCCTTCCCATGGTGGACTGTTGGATATAGTCAGACAGGATTTCAGCAGGCTGATCTGGGCTGAGGAAAAGACAGAACAAGAGAAGGGAGCACCCCAGCATGAGGACATACCAGAGCAAAATGATAATTTCTAGGGAACATCTACAGAGTCTAATCTACCATTTGTATGCCAGGTAACTTATATAAGACGCAGGGCAGAGTAAAAGCACAGGCCTGGCCTGCTCTGGTGGCCCTGTGCACAGATGACCCATGAACACAATCCTTCCATCAAGCATGTGTCAGGAGTCACACTTGTTGATCTTTCTTCAAACACTGGTTTGGTTCTCTGGCCCCCTTCATGTACTCTGTTGTCTGCTTAGGAAAGGAGACCTACCAGCTTCCTAATATGGTCACTAAGGAATCCAGCCCTTTTAGAGCAAAGGTTTTCTTCAGGGCTTGCAGCAGATTGCTGCCTCCATCAGGCTGCAGGTGCTTTACCCAGAGCTTGAATTCCTGTAGGCTGAGGAGACAAGAATGGAGACAAAAGCAGCCTAATCACAGCATTCTTCAGGGCTCCAGGTCCAGGACAAATTGAACTCATTTCAGCCTAATGATACCTCTTTGAGGTGGACATGTTTATTTCCATTTTACAGATGAGAAGAATGAGGTTCAGATTTAGGAATTGCTAAAATTATACTGTTAGCAACTGGCAACACTGAGGATTCAAATGAGGTCTGACTCTAGGACCTGAGCTTTGTAGGGGATGGGTTTGATTTGGTCTGGCAAATGTGATTCAGCTCTGTATGGAAAACCTACAGGAGCAATGTAGTGGGCAGGAGCCAGACCCTCAAACCGGGTTTTCCCGTGGGAATCAGGCCTAGAAAATGCATACAGACTGTTATGGCTTGCTCTTGCTAAAACTCCCTCACTGGTCTAAAAGAGTGGATATTTATTGCCTATCTTCAATGTAATTTCCAAAGCCTGTGTAAATTTTCCCAAGGATGGAGCTAATCAGCTCGCCACCTTCCCCTTCTGTATTTGTTATTTTCAGTTCCTCGATTGTACCTAAAATGTGGACAACAATATTCTATGTAATAGATAAATCCTTCTTTGATGTAAGACTGGAGAAAAAACAATAAAAGCCTGTCTAGGCAAGGGTTGGGGTGCTCTCCCCTTGAGAGAGTGGCCGTGCTGTCCCCTTTTTCTCCACAGGATTGCTGTAGCCTGTGCGTCTGTCCTAGCCTTCAGTCACAATAAGTGGACTCTGATGACCAGAGTGTGCCACAGAGCTTCTAGTGACTGCTGTCAGTTGGTCCAGGGCTAAGACCCTTCTTCCACCCACCCTGACTCTGCTGGGAGGCAGACTTCAGCCTGAAGCATGGAGTCAATGCTCTAATGCTCAGAAGGGACTAAGAGAAAGCTGTGGCTGTGTGGCCATATCTCATGTGGATTGGGGTACACACTTCTGGTAACAGGGAAAATGACCTAACACAGTACTGTCTTGGTTAAATACTGAATACCTCACATGGTACTAGTGAGAGAGTTCTGCTCTTTCCATTTCTTTTTCAGTCTGACCAACACCGCCCCCCCCGCCCCCCGCCAAATCTCAGCCTGTTGCTAGAAGTCTGTCTCTCATTATTATAACTATTGAGTCTCCCTTTTAAACAGAGAAAGAAAAAATTCAGGCCTAGAGTCTTCTCAAGCCAATAGGTTTCAAGCTGGAATTTAATATCAGCAGTTTGTTTGCTATCCTTGTATTTATTTTTTGACTACTTTCTAATTATGGCAAGGATTCTGGGCTTCTCAATTATGGTACTGATAGAGAGTTTCCTTCAACAATAAACAGAGTTGGTCTAAAAAAATCAATAACAGTGCAAGTGGTACAGAGTAAATAATAGTTCACAAGGCAGAGATATGCTGAAATCATTTAAGTCCAGGAATGACTGGAGTTGAGAAACTCCTGGCTAGATGATCTCAAGGTCATTCCAGGTTGGACAATGGAGATCAGGGGTCTAACAAAGGTGGAAATCAAAGTAAAAAAAAATGCTCTCATTCTCTGACTATCTGCCACATGCCAGTTACTTATTTTTTATTTCATCCTCACAACAGCTCAGTGAGGAACAAGTATCCTCAGCCTCATTCTGCTCATGAGAGAAGTGAAGGACTGGTCAGCATTACCCAGTAACTGCTAGAGCTGGGATTCAAAGCCAGCACTGCTGGAATTGAGTACTTCTCTACCTGGACATGTTCCTCTTTATAGCCAGTGCTTGGCAAGGGGACCTCCATCCCAGAAATCTAAGCTTGTGGATTTTCCAGGACTCTGCTCTGGAATCTAATCCCGGCTCTGCCACTTTGGGCATGTTTCCTAACCTGAGACCAGTTTCTTCATCTACAAAATGGGGATAATAATCCTATTCAACGTGCTGGATACAAATATTAAATAAGATAGTACATGCTAAGTGGCTACTGTGGTACTTAACACATGGTGGGTGATCAAAGATACTCCCTTCATGGTATAAGTGGAAACTCTTACATACCTTCCCTCTCTCTGCTCCCCTAGACTAGAAGCTCTCAAATAAAGGACTAGCTAAATTGTAGTATATAGTGAAACACTATACAGCCATTAAAAAGAAGGAGGAGTTCCTGTATGCCCAGAGAGTGATATCCAAGGTTAGGTGCAAAGCCAGTTACAGGCCAGTATGACATGCTCCTGCTTGTGTTTATTTAAAAAATTTTTTTAAAGGTTTTATTTTATTCATTTTAGAGAGACTGGGAGGGAGAGAGAAAGAGAAGTGTTTATGTGCAAGAGATGCATGGAATGGTTGCCACTCACATGCCCCCGACTGTGGACCTGGCCTACAACCCAGGCATGTACCCCAACCAGGAATCAAACTGGCAAATTTTTGGTTCGCAGGCCAGCACTCAATCCACTGAGACTCACCAGCCAGGGCTCCTGTTTGTGTTTAAATAAAAGAGGATGGCCCTGGCTGGTGTGGCTCAGTGGACTGAGTGCTGGCCTGTGAACCAAAGAGTCGCCTTAAAAAAAAGAGGATGAACACACAGGTGTATGTGTGACAGACTGTCCATGGAAGTAAACAGAAGAAACTGTTACTGGGAGAAGAGAGGAGGACTTGGGTGAGGGAGACTCATTTGCTATTATTTACCCTCTCATACTGTTTTAGTTTTTGAACGTGAACATGTATTATTTTCACAATAATAAAACTACCTGCTACTTTGCCGGATAAAATGGTATCTTGTGGTTGTCTTGTCTTTTCATTTGATGGATTACTTGTGAGGGTAACTCTTTTTCCAGAAGTTACTGGCTCCTGGTGTTTCTACTTTTGTGAATTGTCCCTTTGCATTTACTTATCCAATGGGGTTTGTAATTCAATCACGCAATGAAGACAGTAACACTTGGGGAGGAAAATGACCACATAAACATCCTGGGCAGGGCTGGATGGCTACTCACATGGAGGTGCTGACGTCCACGGGGTCTGGCCAGAGGGGTCTGATGGTGGTGCCAAAGGACAGGACGTACAGCTTCTCCTTGCGACTCAGCTGCTCATCAATCAGGCTCTGATGGACAGAAGTGTCAGGTAGGGAGTTAGTTATTAACAAAAGAGAAGGGGGCCAGACATCTGGTTTGGCCCGATTAAGTCAGGTAACAGCAGTTTCGCAGTCACACCAGGGAGTAATGGCATCATTTGGACAACATCCCGCCTAATCAACGAGGCAGGAAAGACAGCCTTACAGCCTCCCCAGGGGTAACAGGCATCATTCCTCTGGACTAACAGAGAAGGAAGAAAATGGTGAGGGGGATTCCTTTTACTGAGGCTGCGCAGTAGAAGCCAGATGAGAAAGCAGAACTTTGAGGCTTGTGAAGTAGGAGCCAACATGGCCACCATAAAGGGGCGGAGTCTAGCCTGGGAAAGTCAGGGAAAAGGATCAGATTGGAGGAGGGCACATGAAAATGATTGAATAGTGTGAGGCACCAGCACAGGCCGAAAAATCCAGGAGAGACCGGGTAGTTTGAAATAAAGGCTGCTCTCAAGCCCAAGAAAATACAGGGAAGACAAAGAACCCAGCTTGTGCCCTCCTTGGAGCACGTCCACTCCAGTATCCTTTTTGAGAATACTTTTGCCTTCTTTTTTTTCCTAAACTCTAAGGGTCCATAGGAGACTCACAAATAGGGGAGCAGCAAGTGACAGCAGAGGGCTCTCCTTTTGACTCTCACTTATTTTCATGAGTCTATGCAGCTGCTACTATAGCCTGCTTGCTCCATAGGTCTCCGAGAATATACTTGTCAACTTTTTGCTTTAATGACTCTTGCCTTTCACACACCTCCTCCTAAGCGAGTGTCCCCAAATTTCTTTCCCCTGTGACACTGTACAAGAGCCCATTACCAGACTGTGCAGGGCCTATCTGCCTAGACCCTGGTGTTTCCAGGAATAGGTCACCACTGGCTCCCAAAGCAACGGGCCATGTGCCTGGCTTTACCTCTCATGCTGCGGCTGGTCACCGGGGCTAGGGTATGAGCAGTGCTAAAGCGGGGTCACTTGAGGTTCAGCTTAGTGGACTCACACTGACCTTTGCTTCCCACCCACTGGGGATGTGGGATAAGAGCTATAGCTGCCTATCCCATACTGTCCCATGGTCCTATGTGGTGGAGGTAGAACATGGGCCTTCAGCCTATGGATTGTGTGCCCCCCTCCCCAACCCACAATGGCAGACTGCTGTTCTCTTTCAGAGCAGCTCCTTAGGGTTGCTGTACACCAGGGTCAGAAATGTGGGTGGGGTGTGTGTCTTGGCTTCCCATCTCAAACGTGTGCTATGGTTGGTTGAACTCTTAACTGTGGCACCCAGGAGGGAGAACACAGGAAGGGGGCAGTAGTTTCTCTCCAAGGCATATGAGTCGGGGATGGAGCAATGAGCACAACACCAGCCTGTTTGATTAATGTTTTTAAGCTGTAGTGGGTGAATATACAATAGTCTTGAGACATAGTCAAGTTACTAGGGACTGCTGTGAAGAGAATACTAGAAGCTCACACTCCAAGGGAAAATGACTCTGAGGTTTGGGTTCTTTAACTGAAGATGCTAATTAACTGTGAACTGCTCTTTGTAAAATACATCATTTTGCATTTGCTGTGAACAAAGCCAGCTAGCCAGGCACAAATGGGAGGGAGGAGTGGTGGAAGTGGTTCCAGGTCCTTCTCTGTGCCCCAAGACTTACCATGAGGTCATTTTGAAATTCTTCATTCCTAGGGCTACTGCTGATGGCCGACACATCAATGAGAACACCGACTCTGGCCCCCTTGATGAGGCCAAATGCCTAAAACCAAAAAGGGCACCCAGAAATAACCAGCACAACTGTGTTGCTCTGAAGACTTTCACGGAGCAGCTCCGCAATGGGAACTTCTAACTCTCCCAGACCTCAACAAAGAGCAGCCAAGGAAGGCCCATTTTACAGAGGAAGAAGCAAAACCTAGGTCTAGGCTGCTGCTCCTGTTTTGTGGCAACATATTCTTTAAGTTGTTGTCATTGATATTTACCGTCTACTCTTATGAAGTAATACATGCTTACTGTAGAAAATTTGGAGCCTGTAGAAAAACATCCTTTTTAAGAGATAAAATTTGATACTTCACTACTATGGATGAAAAAATGGCCACATGCTAAATCTAACAAGCTCAGGGGAGGCCTGCATGGTGGGACTTAGAAACTCAGGCCAAAGTCACCACATGGGATGGACTGAAATTAAAACATTCTAGCTAAAGGCAGTTAATGGCTGGTAATCTTGTCCTAGTCTAATGGGGTGCAAAGTGAGGGGTGCCAAAAAATAGGAGAAAAAAACCCAAAGACCTTGATTGGGGGATGGGGGAAGTGGATGATATGGCTTAAGATAATTGCATAGCAAAAAGGCAAGCTAATGCTTGTGCTACTGCCCGGGTGAAAGGTGTCTAGTGACCCTGAGAGCATTCAGGAACTCGTGACAAGCCAGGGGAGGTGAATGCCCTCCCCAGAAGCCCCTGTGTCATGGGAATTCTTGACCTAACTAAAGATGGCAGCTGAGAGAATGTAAATATGGGAAGACTGGCAAATGTAGCACATTGTGGGAGGAGCTGGATAGGATGTCATGTAGGAAGCTCTGGGTCAGGATTTAAACTACGGACAAGCAGAGAGGGGGAGGTTGGTTGGCTATGAGGGCTGAGAGAGTAGGTAGCAGTGGTGCCAGTCTGTAGTGAAGAGGGCAGCTATGTGCAAGAGGTTCAGCCATGGTGCCTATAGTGAGGGAAGAACTATGTCTGTTCCTCTGAGGTTTCGGCCATGCAGCCTAGGCTAGTAAGAAAGGGGAGTAGTTATGAAGAAGGAGCCATAAGCCAGAAGGGATTTGGCGGCAGCAGCAAAGAGAGAGAGAATGGCAGGCTGCTGCTCTGATTGTGCCCACTCTAGCTGACTCCAAAGCCACTCAGGACTCTGCCTTGCAAGATGCTGACCTGCTGCCTCAGGCCTGCACTATGTCTGTACTCTTGGGACTCTGGATGTACAGAGAAGTCACTTTCTTGGGACTTGTACCTGTCCTGGTCTTCACCATGATCCAGTGCAACATGGCACATTTTCCTGGACTATTACATGGAGGCTGAGGACAACATATCCCAGATCCTGAAGGAGAGAGCTGCTGTGAGATGATGGCAACTCTGAAACCATGGGTGTACCTTGCAGAGGGGATGGAGACCTGTTTGTGCAGCTGGCTTAAGAACAGATAAGAATATGGGGAACTATTGGGCTTGGTTTTGGCTTATACCCTGGTGGGGAGCAAGGAAAGTGCTGGGTCTCATGGGAGAACAGAGCTCTGAGCAGAAGTGCTCTCAGCCCCACTGAGGTTCTACCCTTGTAAATAAAAAGCTGTTTACTCCAACACTAATTGTTGGGTCATGCATCAAGGCACCACAAGCACAAGCCCCACTTTGCTCAGTTACACTAGGGCAGTATTTTTCTCTAACGAAGGTCAGTCTTCACGTTAAGTGAGCCTGTCCTCTTTTCTTTCTTTTGGCATCTATGATAACATACCTGATAATATACCTTTGGAATATCACAGTAATTTCCTTTTGTCCAGGCCCCTCAAAGCACAACCACCAAACCAGGGCAGAGACCACACATCCTCTCACTGTTACTATTACCATGCTAATTGTTGACTGTTACCTATCTTATACCCACCAATGTAAAATAAATACAAGGGGGGACTCCCCAAAACCCCAGAATTATCTTCTAGAGGTGGGCCCCCTTGTAGTACAGGCTTCCCCTGCTACATGAGTGTTCTATGAACCCATCTGTATCATTGTATCAGCTGGCACTGTTATGAGAGGTGTGCTTAGCTTCAGTGAATTTTTTTTTTGAAGATTCTTTCAATGTGTTTGACCATTTCATGATGGGTGATTTAAGAGCACACCTGCCCACACTGCACTGAGTGCTCAGCAGTTTTGAACCCAGAAACGGCACAGCCCTGTGCCCCATACTCCCTATTCACCTGATCTCAACCCAAGTGACTTTCGTTTTCCCAGATGAAATAAAGTCCTCAAAGGGAAACATTTTGCCAATGTGAAAGAGGTGAAACAAACAAAACAGCAGTTGCACTAGAAGGCATCAAAATTGATGAGTTCAAAAACTGTTTTGAGCAGTGGAAAACAATGCCTTGATAGCTGTATTACATCAAATGGAGAGTACTTTGAAGGTGGCTGAAGTTTACACATGTAAGAATACACACTTTTTTTACAAATAAATTCCAGGGTTTTTGGGGGGGACCTCCTTTGTATGCGTCTATTCCTTTTACTTTTTATTTAACCCCAGAGATTTGCCTGCTTTGCTTTCTTCCATCTCCCCAATTTACCACCAGTGAATTTTATGTAACCCCCTTATGCCTCCTCCTTTGATTGTAATGTATAAAATAAGGTGCAAAACTGCCATTCTCTGGAGCATTTTCTCAATCCATTGAGACTTTGCTTCCCAGCAGTTGCCATCAGTTTGGCTCAAAGAAACTCATAAATATTCTTACAGGCTTGGAGGTTTCTTACATTAACATTTACTTGGAATAGTGTGGCAGGATTCCAAAGAAGCCCACCCAGGACCACCTTATAGACCCTGACCTGTGCTTGGTACCAGAAGGAGCCCACTGTGCCTCACCAGCTCTTTGTTTTACATTGGGTGAACTTGGGTGAATTTCCCTTGGGATTCTGGATCTCACTGTTTTGAGGTAAGAGGCCCTGATTTTATTTGAGCCAATTTTTAAAATCCTCAAGGTTAAGGGTTGAGAGAACCCAGGCTAAGGTGGGACAGTAAGAAAAGTGGGTGGCTGGGTTTTAGCTTTGACTTTTCAATTGAAATTGTTTTCTGAGAGTCTGAACAAAAAAACCCTTTGCTGGATAAATGGGAGCCTGAACTCATTGGGCTCCAAAGATAAGGTGCACGCCCTTCAGCCTGAATCTTGGGGTATTCTTAGGAGATGAATCTTTGTGGAGGTGTCAAAAGCCATCCTTTATGATATACAGGAAGGAGCCCCTTAGAGAGTTCCAATTCTACTGTAATTAAACAACTGACTCATCTGGAGACACACACCTAAAGGTTGGGTACTTAGTGCTCCAAGTCCACACAGTTGTATTAGGCAACCAGGGAGAGAAACCAAGACACATAAGGGTTGACTATAACCCAGGAAGGAGATGACAGTCTCTTGGAATTCAATCCATATGCAGCATATTTCAACTCACCACACAATATCCCTAGAAATTTGTTCAGACTCTGAAGATAATTTAAAGAAAACTAAAATTAACATGGGAAATTGTGCCTCCAGGGCTAGAAACTCCCAGCTCCCAACCCCCATTAATATTCATGGAGATACACAATAAATAGGAAGCTTGTTCTTGCATGTACTTTACAGAAATGGGAAGACTTAACTGGAAATGATATCAACTTAAGATGGCCAAAATTCAGTTTTCTTTGGGTGCCTAAATTAATTTTTGCATGCAAACTTAGAAAAATGCTGGCTCTAAAATTAAACTGAATGAATGGGAAGCATATCTTGATTGGAAATTAGAAACTTCTAAGAGGAGCACAGGTAAATTTTTTTTAAATGTTAATAAGAAATTTTACAAACTTTCTTTGAACTAAAGAAGGCTTCTGAGGTTAATAAATGCCAACACCCCATTCCTCTCCTTGGCTGTCTAATACAGCCATGAGCTCCTCCACTATATTCTTTGCTTTCTGAGCTTCCTTGTCTAGATTTGCCCTCCCCCTCTATCTACTCCATATTCCCCTTTTATCTACTCTATATTTCCTCCACTACCACTCCCTACTGACTTAGGGGAAAATGAGAATAGGAATTCAAACAAGGGTAATTCAGGAATTCTAGCAGTTGCCTTTGGAGAAATGCTGGTCTCAAGCAGACAGGAATAAACAATTGTATACATCCTTGGACTGAAACAGAATTAAGGTATCTGCCTAAAGATTTCCCCAATTTTTGCCTTGGCTAGGTAGCTTAGTTGGTTAGAGCTGTGTCCCAAAACACCAAGGTTGTGGGTTTGATCCCAGTCAGGACAAATACAAGAATTAGACAATGAATACATAAATAAGTGGAATAACAAATGGTGATGTTCTCTCTCTTCTCTGTTAAAAAAAATTTAACTGTTGAGAACATGTGATGCTGGCTATTCTGATCTGTTCCAGTTAATATACCTACTGGTTTCTGGGAGCAAAGTAACAGAATGACTAAATAGAGTTTGCTAGGAAATTCTTGTAGAGGAGTCTATTTTTATTGTAGAAAGCTAGGTCACCTAGAAAAAAAGAAGAAACAGAGCGAGCATAGGGCTGCTGCAAGGATGATGAAAGGGCATTTCTCCTTCTCCTTACTAATCATTTAGGAGAAATACCATGAAAAAGTATGTGGGGGTGGTGGATTACTAAGGTTCTTATAAATACTGGGGTTACTTTATTTGTTCTTAAATCACACCTAAGTTGCCTCCACTCTCACAGTAAAACTTCTGTATAGATGGTAGGGATATTTAATCAACCAATGTCTGCTTTTAAATCAGAAACTGTCCCCTTCCAACTAGGGGATGTTAAGGGGCAATATATATATTTTGATAATCAAATCTGTCCCAACTCACCTGATAGGGTGAGATTTTCTTGAAACTAATGATGCCCACATAACCTTTTGCCAGAAGGGTGAAATGTATTTAGAAATGAGTAAATCAGATATTGAACTAACTTGAAAAATAATAATTTGAAGGGAACCTCCATAAGAGGAAAAGAATCTTGAGACTCAACATTTGTTGTAGGATAGTT